CAACCCAGTAGTTCCCAAAATGGTCTTAGCTGTTGTTACGACCCCCTGGGTGGTCTAGGGGTGAGGGGACCATAAACATATGGGCAGAACCTGGTCGGTTGTAAAAGGGTAGTGTTTATTGCCGACCAGAGGTAGACAGGCAGGTAACTACAAACAAAAGGAGGGTGGATGAGGGTGCTGTGAAAAGACAAACCAAGTTAAATAAAAGAGATCCCCAAAAGGAGGACAATGCCTGAATATACATTTAGACAAACAGTAGGCGCTTACCAAAAAAACACAAAGAGCACAGCACCCACTACACCTATGAAGCTAACAGGCACAAAAACTACGTGTGGTGAATCAAGTCAAGTCAAGTCATTTTATTTTGTATAGCCCAGAATCGCAAATTACAAATTTGCCTCAGAGGGCTTTACAGTCTGTACACATACGACATCCTCTGCCCCGAAACCCACCATCGGCACAGGAAAAACTCCCCAAAAAATGAAAAAAACCCTACAAGAGGGAAAAAAAGGGAAGAAACCTTAGGGAGAACGTCAGAGGAGGGATCCCACTCCCGGGATGGATGCCATGTGTACAGAATGAACAATGTATAATACATGCAATTCCTATGACAGAAATGATTCAAGTAATTGTGAGTAGTAAGCCAGGCGCACAGCAGGACCACTGCAGAGGCAACCACCATCAGATAGAACCACCATCCACAGAATCCTGTGGGGAGGGAGAGCACAGAGATTTTAGGAGAGGGTAATGGCGGTTTATGAGTAAAGTAATATGATCAATATCTAAAATAATGATGATGATGATGATGATGATGGCAGCAGCAGGCGTCAGCATGGCCACGGTAGGTGTCAGGACCAGGGTCCCGAAGGAACCACGATCTATGGAGACCTGGTAGGGGCGAAAGCACAAAAAAACTCCCGGAAAGAAGCTGAATTAGTCATGTGCATTAATAAAACTTGAATTATGGTAGAAAGAGAGCGTGAGAGAGGAGCTCGGTGTGTCCTAAGAAGTCCCCCGGCATTCTAAGCCTATAGCAGCTTAACTAGGGGCTGGTCCGGACTAACCTGAGCCAGCCCTAACTATAGGCAGAATCAAAGAGGAACGTTTTAAGTTTTACTTTAAAAGAGCTGACCGAATCTGCCCCCCGGACTGAAAGTGGAACCTGGTTCCACAAAAGAGGAGCTTGATAACTGAAGGCTCTGGCCCCCAGCCTACTTTTTAAAACCATAGGAACAACAAGTAACCCAGCATCTATGGAGCGCAGTTGCCTTGTAGGGCAATACGGTGTTACAAGCTCTTGAAGATACAACGGTGCCTCACCAGCAAGTGCCTTGTAGGTGAGGAGAAGTACCTTAAAATCTATTCTTGATTTAACAGGAAGCCAGTGCAGAGAAGTTAATACAGGAGTGATATGATCCCTTTTCTTAGTTCTTGTTAATACACGTGCTGCAGCATTCTGAATCAGCTGGAGAGGCTTAAGAGATTTATAAGAGCAGCCTGATAACAAAGAATTACAGTAGTCCAGTCTGGAAGTGACAAACGCATGAACTAATTTTTCTGCATCACTTAGAGACAGGAAGTTCCTGATTTTTGATATGTTACGTAGATGGAAATAGGCAGTCCTTGAAGTCTTCTTTATATGCGAGTTGAAGGTCATATCCTGGTCGAAGAGAACTCCCAGATTCCTGACGGTGCTGCTGGGTACCAGAGCAATTCCATCCATAAAAACTGTATCACGCGACAGCTGGCTTCGAAGGCGCTCTGGGCCTATCAGGATAACTTCCGTTTTTTCTGAGTTTAGCATCAGGAAGTTGCCGGTCATCCAAGTTTTGATGTCTCCAAGACATTCTTGGAGTCTAACTAACTGGTCCGTCTCTTCTGGCTTGATCGACAGATACAGTTGAGTATCGTCTGCATAAAAATGGAAGTTTATGCGGTGTTTCCTGATAAGATCGCCCAAAGGAAGCATATAGAGGGTAAATAAAATCGGTCCAAGTACAGAACCTTGTGGGACTCCGTGACCAACATTGGTGGTCTTTGAGGATTCACCGTTTACAAGCACAAACTGGGATCGGTCCGATAGGTAGGATTTAAACCAGCTGAGTGCAGTTCCTTTGATACCAATTAAATGTTCTAGTCTCTGCAACAGGATACAATGGTCTGGTCAATCAGTACAGACTCTTACCCTAACTCCCCCTTTTTGCCAGCCCCGTGCTGGTAAAACACACAAGATCCAAAACACAGTACTTGACTCAGTTGCGCACAAATACACACACACAGGAGGCACACAAGTCAACTGGCCATGACGAGCTGCCCCGAGCCACTGGTGGGCTCTCCTTAAGAGCTGGAGGTAAGGCTGAGGTGGCGACGTGCCATTGGGTGCGCTGGGACAGGGTGGACCAATGGGTGGAGCTGGAGTGAGCCTGACAGAGCTCCACCGAAACCAGGAAGTAGGCGGGGCTTCAGTCCGCAGGGTCGCACAGCCTACTTTGTACAGGCAAGACAAGACAGAAAAATACAAACCACGGTGACCACGGTGACAGACAGTGACACTGTTCAAGCCCCCCTTCTGGTCCACAGGCATGGACTGTTTTGGGCCCTTCACTGTAAAGGTTGGCCGTCGCACAGAGAAAAGATGGGGCCTGCTATTCAAATGCCTTACGACACGCTGCATTCATCTCGAGCTGCTTGATAATGTGAATACAGATACATTCCTAATGGCCTTCAGAAGATTTGTCTCACACAGAGGGAAACCCTTTGAACTACTCTCCGACTGTGGGACTAATTTCAAAGGAGGAGAAACAGAGCTGAAAGGTGCCTTTGAGGCCATGGCACCAGCCTTAAAGCAACAATTGGCCCACGGACAAGTGAACTTCCAGTTCAATCCTCCATCCGCCCCGCATTTTGGTGGAAGCTGGGAACGAGAGATCAAATCAATCAAAATGGCCCTCAATGTTGCATTAGGAAACCAACCAACAACAGAAACTGTTCTATACACAGTCTTGATTGATCCATATTATGATGTAACTTAGTTTGTATATAAATTGATCTGTTCGTCATGCCAAATTTTATAACCTCCTTTCTTTCCTTTTTGTATAGACCATGGAAATATTACGTCAACAACTAAAAATAAATGGCATGACTGAATAAAGATCAAAGTGCATGAAACCCTGTTTCAAGTCGGTTTGTGGCTCCAGTCGACCCCTAAATCCAGTACATAAACCTTCTCTCAGGCTGCACACCTGGTTTGTTCAAACTAAGTTTTTTATGCTTCACTATTAAAGCGTTTGCAGGCTGAGAGAGGCTTAGAAACGCATAGCATACAAGAATGCATTGGTTTAACAGTGTTTTCATCAACCTATCACCTTAGCAATCTACACTTATCAGTTTTATGATGCCATCATGTCTGAATAGTTTTACAACCAGATTTCTTCTAACAAAGTTTTTACTTTTTCTTCACATCAGCTTTGCAGGAGAGAATGTCTAAAACGAAGTGTATTGGAGAATGCATTGAATGACAATGTTTTCATCAACATATCACCTCAGCAATGTAGACTTATCAGTTTTATCGTGCTATCATGGTGTCTGAATAGTTTTACAACTAGATTTCTTCAAACCAAGTTTATACCTTTTCACTATTAAAGCTTAGCAGAAGGAGAGAATGTTTAAAGCGAAGAGTGTGGAAGAATGCATTGAATAGTTTTACAACCTGATTTGTTCAAACCAAGTTTTTACCTTTTCATTACTTTTAAAACATTTGCAGAATGAGAGAATATCTTAAACGGGCAGTATGGAAGGATGCTTTGCATGAGTGTTTTCATCAACCTTTTACCTGAGGCATGGAGGCAATTTTTTTAGATAGTTTAATGATATCTGAACAGTTTTACAACTTGACAGTGATTCCATCAACCGATTACCTGAGGAACGTCCAAGTAACAGTTTTTACTGTTTATTCAAACTGTTCATGGCATCACCAATTTGTGTGTCACCCTGGCGCAGGTTTTTCTCCGTTTCTTCCTTTTAGAACACGTCAGCAATGTGTGTGTCACATTGGTGCATTTTTTCTTTCGTGTTTCTTCCTTCTTATGGAACACCAATTCTTGTGTCACCCTGGCAAGTTTTTTTTTCCTGTTTCTTCCTTCTTACTGAACGCCTCAGCAATTTGCGTGTCACAATGGCACCTTTTTTCTTTCGTGTTTCTTCCTTCTTGTGGAACGCATCCCCCATTTGCTTGTTTTCCGTTCTTCATTCTTTTGGAACGCGTCACAAATCTGCGTGTCACCCAGGCGCAGGTTTTTTTCCGTTTCTTCCTTCTTACTGAACGCCTCAGCAATTTGCGTGTCACATTGGCGTGTTTTGACTTGAATAGAAGGGAGCTCCTGATGATTCGGTGACCAATGCAGCAGCTCGACTTGCAGCTCTAAACCAGGCAGACAACTAAGGTGAGGATAATCCTCTCACCAACAGGTTTGTCAGCATTTTTGAACAATTAAAAAGTATTTGTCTACCGTCTGTATACTTTTTAAACTCGAGCCAGTTGACTCTTTATGACTCAGTCTCTTTACTATCGTCTCAGAAGAGGCGAGTGAACAGTAGTGTTCCTTGATCAGAAGCTCAGAACTCCACAAACATAAGCATTTTTAAATGAACAGAGTAATTATTTTGTACACATGACAATAAATATCTTGAACCACACTTTTGGTAGCTTGTCCTGACATCGAACAAGTTCTAATTCTCTACAATAACAGCATTCTTGATACCATTTCCACAAATTTCAGCTTGACTTTCAAGCCTTTTACACAGACTGATAAAAAATGATTTAGTATAATTTTTTCAGCTTGCTGAAAGAATCTTGTTTTCACAAACATGTAAGCAGCATCTATTTTCTGTTTGATGTACATTAAGATGTTAGAATGGAGTTTACATTGTACACTCATGGCTACAGTAGCATTCATGCCATGAATAAAGTTCACACAACACAATCAAATAATGAGACAGAGTTCATAGTGTAGTCAAGAACCACTTTGATATGAAGACAGCAGCTATTTGCCTGTGGGATTTTAATCTAAAAATAGAAAACATGTATACATCTCGCAAAACCACAAAAAAGGCTGTTGATAATTGCATTACATCATTGTGTTCAGCTGCTCTGCAGGTTCTTCATAACGAGGCTGCTGGGTGGAGCGCTGGTGAATATTGTCCCCACAAAGACGTGTGTCCCCCACAGAGAGTGTCGGATCACTCGGCAGCAGCCTAGGTCCTCGATCTGAAAGCCCAGGTGGCGGTACCGGTCATCAGTCTCAAACAGTGTGTTGTTGGTATACGAACCAAAGAACTGGGGAGGAACACACATTCATCATCATCCATCTCCAGCAAAACAGACAAACTAACTATGTTTACTTTGTATCAGCAGCTTTGAATGTTGACTGAGGATGCCACATTTGGATTTATTCTCCAATTCATCATTAACAGTTAATGGATGAGTGCTGTGGTTGAAGGTTACCAATGCACAAACCGGTGAAAGCCATTGTTTACTGCCAAGTCCAGCTATAGTCGGAGCAGGTGTGTTTTAGCTGTAGAGGCTTTCTGCTCTGTCATTGGGGAGTTCATTCCACCATTTAGGAGCAAAGACGGCAAATGTTGTTGAGTGTTGAGCTCTCCGTGAGAGTGCAACAAGCAGATTGGAGCATGTCACACACGCTGGTGCGAGCGCCACGTACATATGCTTGCACGTATCAGGTGGAACTGTCTTCAGGGACAGGGCTAGGCGCTGACCATTTATAACGGTGAGGGAAACACTGCACTCAAACACCAAACATTCAAATTGTTGAGACCAACTCAGACTGCTTAACATGAGTTGAAGGCAACCTCACCCAGGTCACTGTTCCTATTTGGAACTTCCCTGAGGCCTCCAGAACAATGTATAGCTTTCGTTAAACCTATAATGATACTCTGGTTTGAGTATGACATCAGGAAACTTAACTTTAGGAAATTTATTGCCAAAATATGTCACACATACAAGGAATTTGTCTTGGCGGTTGCTGTGTAGCTCTATTGTACATTATAGCATATTAGTACCAAGCTGCTCACTCAGTTGGTATTTCAAACAGTACAACTGGCTAGACTAGTTGAAAATGTCTTTAGAAGCCAGCCCATTGACTATTCATGATATGTTCACATATTTCTCAAGACCATGCGAGAATCTGATGGAAATGTCTTTGCTGCAGGACTAATAAAGGATTATCTTATCTGATTGACATATGGTTAAACCAATCCCTTATGAAGACGGTCTCCAGTGAAGCTTCTCAAGTGGCTTATGTAACCTACCATTGATTGCCACATCTTACTAAGAGCAAACACCAAGTTACATTTGGGATTTGGCTTCAAATTGGTATGAACAAATTACCTATTGATCATCTTCAGCCACTTTGACACTACTCTGAAAATAAGAAATACAAAAACTGGTGATGGAAACAAACGCCAGAAACAGTTTTTATACAGACCCTTTCAACATAGTTGAATTGTTGTGTTTTGGTTTGAAAGACAGATTTCTGCCCACACAAGTTGTCTTAGAATGCTATGGAACGCATATCTTAAAAAAGTGTTCCTCATACAACAACGACTGACGGCGGCATCTTACCGCCAAGCCGGAAGATGGGTCGACGAAGTCGGCCCAGAAGCCCTCCTTCTGCAGAGCATGGCAGATCTCCTGTGCTCCATCACAAAACTGCAAAGCAGAAAAACAACTTGGTCTCACTTCAGTGCCTTCCGAGATCTCGCGTTTGGTGCCTGGTGACAGGTTACATGCTACTATGGCCCTGACCTCAAGTTCAGTTCAGGTGCTGCAGTCGTCTCAAACATAAAATCAAATGAAAAGTAATGGTTCCGGATAGAATAGAGGCCTTCGGATGGGACGCAGGCTTAACAGAGACATTTACCCTATAGCTGGTAGAGCCACTGCTGTGCTCTTGGAACAAACAGACTTGTTACCCTAATCTTCAATCAATGCAAGTATTACACATCTAAAGCTGTTAGCATAATGGACAGCTTGACAGCAGCCCTAATCCTGCCACAGGTATCTGATGCTGCTGCCTGGTGCTGAGAGGGAGCAACATAATTGACTTAGACGGGGAGATGGAGTGGTCATGACACATTGAGACATCAGCACATCTCATGGCAATCAGTGAGTTCCGCCTCAATGACATGAGTTTGTGCTTCCTACTGCCAAAGAGGTTGGATCGCACACAATGCATTCCACTTGGGACTGGTTTGTAGGACCTGGGCATATTATCGTATACTTATACGGTTACTGATAATATATACACTCATACGTAATTTGATCTACAGTGAATAAGTGAATGGAAAAAAGTATTTAATCAATAACACTTTTAAATGCTGTGATGAAATCTTAAATGATGTTTATATGGTACAAATACATGTTCTGGGAGTCCAGGTGGATTTTAGGTCATTACATTACATGTTATTTAGCTTTTTATCCAAAGCGACTTACATTGCATTTTTAACCCATGGTTTTTACATTTTGCATGGCGGTATTTTAGGGGTTAGGTGTCTTGCTTGTGGGACATGGAGCAGTCAGCTACTTCATGCGCCACCGCCGCCACCGTTTGTTTTCGAACATTTTTAAATGTTCTTTGACATGCTGGATGCACATTTTCTTACAATTACTTGAGTGAATCCCAGCCCATCCCAGCATTGAGATTACCTACCCTTCACAGGCAGTCTTGGAGGCAACAGTGCTAACCACTGCGCCACTGCTGGTGCGTTGCAGTATTTTAGACAGCAAAGGGAGATTAGAGATGGGCCGATAGTTGTTGTAGCTCCTTGAGGATGGCTGTGACTGAGGCGAGTTGACAGCGACTGTCCATGGGTTGGAGGTGTGTTTACGGTGGAGAAGAGGACCTCATGGTTGGCAGAACCAGCGAGGATGATGCAGGAGTAATAGGTAGTATTTCATCTGATGTAATACTGCCCTGTAAACTGTAATCCTTCTAAATCAAGTAATGTTCACTTTTTATGAAAATGTAAATGATCTTTCTCAGCACTAACCAATGTTTGACTGCAGTGAAAATGTTCCTGGAAGCCTTAACATACGATATAGTGAGACCAAGCAGAAATATTTATTGTGGCCCCCGGAACATTCTCTTTTAGGTTTCTAGAGGAGAGAACGCTAGTTCATCTAGTTGATCCTTCAACACTTAATTAAGCCCCAAATGACTTATTACCTCAACCAAGGAGTTAAGTTTTCAGTTCAGTTTGTTTCATGTAGTCTGTCAGCGTGCTGAACACTGTAATGGCTTTTTGCACGGCAAGGTGCATTTAGGAGCGGATCCCAATCATGGGCATATACAGGCATTATGCTTCACTTGTGGACTGGCTTTGCCACTTTGGCTGAGAAGTGGCCTTGCCACTTTGGCCGTGTAGTCCACGGCCCCGTCTGCACAGAGACACTCACCTTGTCAAGCATCTGATCCCTCTCCTGTTCCACCTCAGCACACCACGACGTCATATCGTTTCGGGTCTTCTGGGTCACTGTGACCACCATCATACCAGTGGATGGTGCTTCAGGGAACATGGACTGAAAATCTGTTCATCAGGAAACATAGACATCAGAAAGGAAGCACCAGGCACGTGCACAAGATTTTGGGGCTGTGCAGGTGCTCAAACCAAAACAGAAATTCAGGAAATTAAAAATATTAATAATTCAATAAATAAACACATTAGGATATTTTCCCTGTCCTTCTCCTTTTGGAGTCTCTCTTTTCTTAGCATTATGCTGCGCATTTTGTAAATGAGATAAACAATGTTGTGCATAATGATCCAGAGTGACTTGCATAATCTCTATAAACCTGACAACACACACACACATTTCTTTTACCGTTTTCTGACAGAGTTGAAGCATAAGGAGCATTACACTAATAATATAATCACAATATACTGACACCAGACTGTCATGTAGCTCAAGACCTACCTTTCACTTCAATAATTGAATTAAACTAGTGAACTTGTCCAATTTGTACACTGTACTGTTAAGTAAAACTGCCTTTAAATTATCTGTCTGTATCTCTCTCCCTCGCTCTCTTCAGTAAACAGCTCAACAAGGCTTCAAAATCATGGATTTTTTTCGTTTGTTTATTTTTTAGGAAACGTCGGACCAGTTGCAATGTAATGTTTTCAGCGGCGCTAGTGTTGTGGTTAATTTATCACTAAACAACGTTGGGGGTTTGCACAAACACCGCCATTGCGTGTTTGTCCGATGCTGCAGCCGTTTGGTGCTCAGCGCTGCACGAGCACTAAGCGGAGGAGAAAGGAGGGAGGGAGGGGCGGGGTTTGTGAGCGCCGCGGAGCATGTTAGGCGAAATTCTCACAATAACTCAAATAAATGCCCCGTCAGATATTGAAACACTTGGGGGGAGATTTTTATTCTTTGTCATCAATTTTTCATTCTTAAATATTGATGAATGAAGAAAAAAATTGGGCTCCAGCTGAAGTGGCACTTTTCTCCTCCAGGGCAAAATGGCAGGTGCTTGAGCACCATTAGGGTTCTATCTGTGCACGTGCCTGGGAAGCACTTCTCATCAGCATGAAGAGAAGAAAGTCAATGCAAAATAATTAATTCGGCCTCAGTTCTGTACCTTTCTTTAGAAGTTCAGGGCAGCACTGTACAGCACACTCCAGGCTAGAGCTGTCAAAGTACCGGTCAGCTGTATGGACATCCTGAGACGAGGCTGGCTCATCTTCCTCCTGAGACAGACAGACAGAGACGGAGAGAGAGATTACATTGGGAGTGAGGAGCATCCTTTCTGCTGTTGAGTTCCCACCCCAACTCAGCGCCGTGGGCTTAGAGTAGTTTACCTAGCTTCCGTCTAGCCCGCAGTTAAATGTTAAATTTGATTAAGTAATAATAAATAAGTCTGCATGTATTTAAAAAGAGTGACCATGTTGTTGTGTTGTGACGATATAATTATTGATAATAAAAAGTAAACCATATCTAACATTATCGTACACCAAATATGCAATGAATATTGTCTCCTGCGCAGGGAATTGATTTATTCAAACAATTACTACAATAGGTTGCATGAATTGTTTTCTAGTGTACTGTGGTGAGAAATAGGCTGAAGCCAAGGCCCCGTTCCTCATACGTAGTTCAACTGTCAATCAAATGTCCTGTTAGATGTTCATCCATCGCAGGCTTCCTGTGAATAAATGATTCCTAGAGTGTTGATGGCGCTCGTACAGGAAGTCATTGTGATGCGATGTAGGAGAAAATTATTCCATCCCAACCCAAAACCTCAAATTTGTTGGTCCATAACACATTTTACCAGTCTTCCTGTGTCCAGTGTCTGTGTTATTTTGCCCATTATCAAGATATGGCGTTTTCTTTGCAGCCCTACTAAGAGGCCCGCATCCCAAAGTGGCCTTTCCACTGTACACGTTAAGTATTTTATATTTTACCGACTCGGTTCTTTGAATGTCGTTCAGTAAAATGAACGAATCTTTCTTCGAGTCATTCGTTGACGGGGGGGGTGGTGGTGGTAAGACATTACCGACCATTTTACCGACTCGGTTCTTTGAATGTCGTTCACTAAAATTAACGAATCTTTCTTCGAGTCATTCGTTGACGGGGGGGTCATTGAAGTCAGAATGTGTATCAGGTTGGCAGGTCTGCTTATTGATAGAATGGTGGACCACTTTACCTTCTGCCTCGTCAGTCCCCTCACCTGAAAATCTACCTCCTCAAAAACGGTAGCGTTAGCTAATCATTTTCCACCGGAGCTTTAGCTAGCTGGCCAACGCCGCGTTCTCTCCTGCTGTGTTAAATGACTCAATTCACCAAGCTGTAGCTAACGTTAGCTAAGTCTATGTCAACAAAGCTCCTGGCTAACTTAACTTGGATATACCATAAAATATTAAAATCACTTACCCTGTTCGCAATTCACTGAATCTCGCGCTCCCTTCTGAATATGAATACCCCCCCCCAAAAAAAAAACTCATCGAATCTACACGATTCACGTAGGTCACCTATTTTGGTTTCAAAACGGCGAATTTCGCCGAAAGGTGAGGGATTTTCATACCTGCAAGAGTAAGAGGTGCTGAGAATTGGTTTCTGTATGCTTATGTAGATATTTCAGTAAAAAACAGCTGTTTACAGCTACAGTAGTAATTTATAACATTAATTATGCCTAGACAATATTTCTGATCAATTTGAATGGACAAAACATGTGCTTCTTGTTTAATAGCAATGGAATTTTTAAGTGGCTCCACTCCAACTTTTGAACGGCAGTGTATTTATGTATACTTTTTTCATAATGAAACTGGGTTTAGCTTTTTATGCAGCAGAAAGACTATAAAAAAGTAGAGGAAAAGAGAAAATAGCTGTTTATAGAATAATATTAATTAAATTTGTACTGACACGTCATTCAGAAAGGCTTATGACACCTTTTTCCATGGTGTAAAAACTCTAAGCCCAGAGATCCGAGTTGTCTTGTTTACCTTGAAGTTGTGTGGAATGGACATGGTATAATGGACATGGTATAATGCAGAGAGTATGGAGCTCTGCAGCCATGTACATACTGTACTTACAAAGGAGTCTCTGTTGACCTGGGCCAGAATTAACTCATGCTGCTCACTGCTGGGCGGAGAAGATAGCACGTCAGGGACCTTACTGTGGGCCAGGCTCTTCATCTGCTCTGCTATTCCCTGCAGGTCGCAGTCAAATCCCAAGTTACCAGGCAGCTGGAAGCGGTGGTCCTGGGGTCCAAAAGGGCCCATGATCTCATCGGGCCACGCTGTCCAGAGTCCAGAAACAGAAAGGTACGTTTTTCAATAAAAAACAGATGGAAGCATTTATTAATTATTGAATCAGCAGAGAGACTGTGCAGCGATTTAACTATCTTGTTTTTTTTATAGCCTTTTAAAGATCTGTGTTAGATGGCCACATATGGGGACCTTTACGAGGCTTCTAAAGTCTATCATTCATTGTCAGCTCAAGCTAATTCATGTTTCAAAACCAAAATATCCTACCCATCTCAGATGGAGTGATGGCTACACAGAGCTCATGGGAGCTGGATGATCCAGTAGCAGAGAAGTTTCTGGTTCCAGTCACACGAGATACCAACACATGAAGCCCCGGAAGGTAACTGACTAGCCTGGCTCTGCTGCACAGCATCTGTTGTTGATCACACTGTATGATCATTCGGGAGTATGAATACATCAAGCGAGGTTTCTTTTATTAAGCCTGACATGGCAGTGCAACAGGAGGACTGTGAAGAGGACCCTCTCCCTAAGACATGAAGTGCTCTTCAAATATACACTTAATACTTTAGTAAAAGACGTGTTTGTTTATTAGAAATGCTCACTTTACTATTGCACTGTGTTGATTGTCACGCACCAAGATAAATGCTCTCTTACCACAATCTTTCTAAATCCATCCCTATAAAGATCTGTCTCAGAGGGAAAAAGTAACACACAGGTGTGCATTGACTTACACTGGTCATCTTGGTTGGTGCGGCACTGTCCAGGTGGGAGGTGAATCAGGGAGGAGCTACCTGTGAACACACAGTTAATGTCAGAACCTCAATCCGGAGGGATGAAAAGCAACATGTCAACTCTCTATCTTTATTTAACTCTACACGACTGCGGCGGAGCAAGACCAAGTGTTGAGTGTATTTTACTGATAGCTAACGTTAGCACTCTGCACTTCTTCAGATAGGACCACCGTAGTTGGTGTTAATTAACGTAAGGTAACAACAGCAATGAACTGAATTTACCCATTGGTAAAAACGTAGCAGCTACACTTACAGAGCAGACATTGGCAGGACAGAGTGAACACCCAAATACAAAACGACGAACTTCTACCTACCAGCGTTATGTGATATGTTCTATTACTCGAGCAGACGTTCACAAGACCGACGTTACATAAGGCTAGTTCGCATAACACGGCTAGTTAATAACATCAATACATCCGTGCAATTTTCACCTTGAAGTGGCGCATGCGCTGTTGTGACGGGGCTCATCTCTTGTTTGTGAATTTGATTAACGTCGCTTGGTAAACTATAACACGCATTACCGCCACCTACTGACCGGAAGGCGGATGTTCATGGCAATTCTGGAAATGCAGTGATTTTATCACTTTTAACATCAGTTTTATTTGCAACAGTATGCATATACATAATACATAAGTATTTTGACTACGTTTTTTCTGTTCTTTATAATGTACTAACACAAGAGTTAGTAGTTAAAGTAAAACCAACCTGGATTGATAGTATAATGTTGACATACAATTATTATTGTTTGCTGAAAACATACAGCAAAGGAATTCGCATTAAATAATGAATGATCCCCCAGTTAAAATGATATGCTATATAACAAATAACCGGTAAAGTGTCTGTACCTGTATAGCCCTTCTATAGTCTTCCGACAATTTCAGCTTTTTTCATTTCTGTATTTTCAGCAATTCTTTTTTATTCGTTTCAGCTTTCGGCTTGCTTGTATTTTCTCATTTATTTTGGCTTTCACCTTTCAGCATTCCAACGTATTTTTGGCAGGAAATAAAATGTCCAGTTCAACTTTTCTATTTAAACATTGCAAATATTGACCTTCGAAGCTTTAATCAACCATTGCAGTGCGTTGCAATTCAAATTGCTGAAATTAATTTTAAAAAATACTGTAAATACAGAAATGACAAAAGTTTTATTTTCAGAAATTCTTCTAGCTTTAAGCTTTCACCATTCCAACACATTTTCTGCAGGAAATGCATTTTTGCAGTGTTTTTTTCCATACTTTGTTTTACATCTCTACCATGACCATCACTTTGAGGGTTGAGTGGGTTGTCCTTCCATCACATGGTTGGCAGTGTGATACCCTTTAAACATGTCTAATAGGTTTTCTGCAGCCCACTGGTGCTGAGGATGGGAGACATGTTCACATCCCCTGCACAGTATGTACCTGTATGTGTACAAGGCTGCCAACATATAGTTTAGAGTGAGATCTGGTACCGGAAAAGTACATTTCACAAGCAAGGACCATGCACGCCAACTGAACTGTTTGACAATTTTATTTGCGAGACCTGAGCGATAGGACTTGTAAGTTGCTTGTGGGGAGCTGCGTCTGGGTATCCGCTGTGGCACCCGGACAAGGCAAACCCCTTTCGGGACCCTATGAAGAAAGGTAGAAAGAGAGGAGGGAGAAAAAGACAGACTTGAGCGATAGGATTTGGATCTGTAAGTTGATACGGCTGGCGGTCGGATGGGTTGTGGGGAGCTACGTCGGAGGATTCCCCAAAAACTCCCATGTGTGAGGTGTGATGAGCCTTGAAGCCACAAGGCTTGAACATCTTTGAGATTTGAGCGGATGTACCAGTGGTATACTTTTGGGTCCGACGGCTCATGAATTTTGAGACGGCGAGTATCTGGAATGGGTCGTCAATGGACTCAGGGGTGACTGGTTGACGGGTGCAGTCCAGCCTGATTTTTTGGTTTTCGTTCGCTTTAAGTGGAATGTTATGGTGTCTTCTGAAATACAGGATAGGAAAGAATATGCAGGTATGACGGCATGTGTTGAAGGTGACGGTTAAAGCGGCAAACGTTTGAAGACTATCTTGGAATGAGTAACAAAACCTGTTACATAGAACTGATCAACGATCTACCTGCTGCAACGAGCCCAGTCGCACCTGGATGGAAAGGGTGGCTCTGTGAGAATAACTTTCTTTGATATCTCCAGTGCCTTCAACACCATCCAACCACTGATGCTGAGTGAGAAGCTGCGGGTGGTGGGGGTGGACTCGTCCACCGTCTCCTGGATCACTGACTACCTGACAGGCAGGCCACAGTTTGTCCGACTGGGCAGTGTGCTGTCTGATACAGTGGTCAGTGGTAATGGAACTCCACAGGGAACTGTTCTGTCTCCCTTCCTGTTCATCTTATATACCACTGACTTTCAGTATAACTGCCATCTGCAGAAATTCTCTGATGACTCTGCAGTGGTAGGGTGTACAAGGGATGGACGGGAGGAGGAGTACAGGGCAGTAGTGGAGGACTTTGTGGTGTGGGCGGGCAGAAATCACCTGCTCCTGAACGTGGCCAAGACCAGAGAGATGGTGGTCGACTTCGGGAGGAAGACGACGGCTCCGCTACCGCTGAGGGTTCTGGGAGAGGAGGTGGCCATGGTCGAGGACTACAAGTACCTGGGTGTCTCCATCGACAACAGACTGAACTGGAAGACCAACATCAACGCCGTCTACAGGAAGGGGATGAGTCGACTCTTTTTCCTGAGGAAGCTTCGATCCTTCCATGTGTGCAGCAAGATGTTGGAGATCAGTCTGTTGTGGCCAGTGCTTTGTACTTCGTCGTGGTCTGCTGGGGGAGCAGCATTGGAGCCGGTGACACCAACAGACTTTACAAACTTGTTAGGAAGGCCAGCTCCATCATTGGCTGCAAACAGGACAGCTTGGAAAAGGTGTTGGAGGGGAGGTCACTGAAGAAACTGTTATCCATATTGGATAATCCTGACCACCCCCTCCACCACCTGCTACAGGGACAGCGGAGCACGTTCTCCAACAGACTCCTTCAGCTCCGCTGTCACAAGGACCGATACAGGAGATCATTCCTGCCCAGTGCAATAACACTTTACAATAAATCATTGCTAAATAATGACAATAATAACCCTGTACTGCCGTGATGTTGCTGCTCTTCCTCTTCTCCTCTTACAAATTATTATTATTGTCTCTTTTGGAAGGTTATTCTTTTGTTTCAGTTTTCGTTTATTTAATTTAATATTTCTATCTTATTATATTGTATATAATGTGTATCTTTTTATTCTATTTTCTTCCCTGTACATGCTGCTGTGAATAAAGTATCTATCTATCTATCAAACAACGGGTGGTTGTCTCAATGAATCAAGATGCCATCTTCCTGCCTCGTTGCGTTCTTGACATTGTTAGGTTGTGTGTGACGTTGTTACATTTTACATGTCAATGCTGTACAGACGTTAGCTGTTAGCTGTGAGCTGGCCAGTGCCGGTTGCTCCATAACTGTGGTAGGAGAAGCCTTGCGAGGGAATGACATCGCCGAGAGAGTTAGATGGAACCACCAATCTTGTGGTTCCCAGCGCACCCTCTCTACCCCTGCGCCACGATGACCCAGGTTGTTCAGAGATTCTACCACACTACTCCACTCCTTCGCTCTCTTCACTGGCTACCAGTGGCTGCCCGCATCCAGTTCAAAACATTGGTACACACGTACCCTGCTGTAAATGGATCGGGTCCCATCTACATCCAGGACATGGTCAAACCCTACATCCCAACCTGCGCACACCGCTCTACCTTGACTAACACAAAACACAAAAAAATTGTAGTACATAAAATTGTACTTATAATGGTTATCTATAGCAAGTTGTAAATCGGCTTATTTAATAAAATTGCACTTTCTTGTTTCTTGTTCTTTTGTTTTTGTATCCTTATGGTTGAAATGCACTTATTGTAAGTAGGGATGAATATCATTTGGGTTTGTTCACGGTACTAACCCGATACCGCTGCCTAAACGGTGCCTGAAGCGATACTTTTTTGACGGCCTTCGTATCATAGTACACCTTCATCTTAGATTGCAAGATTGCCAGTGCCTCTTTGGCTACCTTCCCAGCACGGTGAAGGCGTTCCTTGAAAGAACTAACATAGTCTAGGATGTTATGGGCAGAGGAAGAATCACCAACCAACTGCTCACGCAATAGTTGTAATGGCCCTCTGACTGTGTGACCACGACTCCCAACGATTCCTGAACAGTTTCTCGGATCGCAAAAAGCAAGAGGGGTATACCCTCATTCCATTCCTTACCAGTCTCAAGACAATAGTTGTGTAACATGGTCGTCAGGGTTTGATGGAAGCGCTCCAGCGCTCCTTGGCTCTCTGAATGATAGGCACTAGAGATTTGAGGTTTCACAGCCAATACTTTTAACACCTGAGGTTGCCTCAGGGTTTCAAGTTGCCGCACACATCAAAGTTAAGAGATACTGGTGACTGTGGTGTTCAATGTTACTCATAACAGTTGAGTGACATGTAGGTTTAACCAATATGAAGCCTTAGAATAAGGGAGTGAGGCCAAAAAAATGCCTCAAAATGGAGTAAGTAGTTTTTGTTTTATAGGTGAAGTCCACACCTTCATCCAGGTGACTTCAATCACTCATCAGGAAGCTGCACCTAGGACTCACAGACATCGAATACACACATATGCACACACATTCACAGCAGGACATAGCATTACACGAAACACCTGTCAGAGGGACAATGACAGTCCACAAAGTCATCAGCCTCGAGGGACAATCAAATACCTTGACATAACTTGCCTATGCCCGGCAGTCAAAGGTATACAGGATTGTTCCTGCTGTGGGCTGAACGAGGTGAGCCTAGTAGAAGAGGCAAAGCCATGTGTGAACAAAGAACCATCCCGGCCTGAGGTGATCATAAAAGAAGACATGGCCACAGGTGCATTGTACTATATTATGGTGAACCTTACCCAGAAATCATCTTGGATGTTGAAGATGATGTGAGAGCCAATGCATGCACAATAATGCGACCAAAAAGTTCTAATGGCCAAGTCCATGAGATAACATGAATTGGAACACAGATGACCAGATCGTATGCCTGATGAGAGCCACAACCTAGAACCAAGAAAGCTCCGTCCAGCTGGAAAAGACGGGGTGGGTTTACAAAACGCATGCTGGTTGGCTGAATGTCTGCCAAAAAGGAAATCTGAAAGTTAATGATTAATGGTTGTTAATAGAAGTTACATTTACAATTTCTATTTTCATGTGAAATGTAAATCCATTGCGTTGACTATTGAATTGTATTGTTGACTGATAAAATTTCCACCCTGTTACTCTTCCGTCATCACTGTGTTTTTTCATAATTAAATGAAATCAACAAATATATATTTGGTTACTAACTGGTTATAAATTGGCAAAATGATCTAAACTAAAAATAAGGAAAAAAATTACATAGGAATTCCCTTTTATCCTAAAATAAATGTGGGTAAATTACATTGAGCGTCCAAATAGAGAACAGCCTTTTCTAAATACTGTTCAATATTTATTTTAAGAATAAAGTAACATTTTTCCTTTTAGAAAATGCAATTATTACAATACTTGTGTATTGCAAACACATATCAATAGATATGTGGATGACCTGTAACAGGGTGTACATTTGGTCTTGTTTACAGGTAAAGAATTGGCAAGAATGATTAGACCATCATATCCTGAGCTTCACCAATATATATTCTTTGTCTTTTATATATATTTAGTTCTCTTTTAGATTAAATATATATATATATATATATATATATATATATATATATTTAGTTCTTTTAGATGAAATATTAAAATCATGAAAAATGATAATGTTTTTTATTGAAGTTAACCTGGCTGAAATGACGCCGCATAGTAGGAATGACCCAAATCCAGACCACGGTGTAACTCTGCAAACAACTGACATAAATATAGTTTATATAGTGTGAGGAATTTGTGTTCAGTCTGCCTCGGTGGTGGGTCACTCTCCAGAGGTCCGTTGGCAAAATAAATCCAAATATATGGTCAATTAAATTTATTTTATTTTGTAAAGCCCAAAAGTATCCAAAACCCTCCTATCGGCACAAAAAAAACTCCCTCTCTCGGGGTGGACAGCCTGTGATGGATGTAGAAGTGCATCATGCTAAATTATGACTTTCATTTGAGAGTTATGAATTTGTATCTCATCATTTTTACTGTTCTTCTCATAATTAGGATTTCTATCTCATGATTCTGATGTTCATATTTATTCATTATTACTTTCCTAACTTCAATTTTCTATCTCACAATTTTTACTTATTTAATATCGATTTTGTATTTTACAGTTGACTTTTATGACATTTAATCTCATCATTTTTATCTCATGATAATGAGATAGAATGGCCTAAGCCGTGGCCTCTCCAATATATTGCTGTGAACATACAGTAAATGAATTCATCCATGGGTGGATCTCAGTGAAGAAAACACTACACCTGTGGTTGATTTGGCATTGAGACTATTTAATGACCACAAATGAAGACAAAGACAGACTGACCAGTGACAACAGGAAGGTCAGTGAGCCTAATATTACCCAGACCGCCACTGCTATATCTTAAGTGAGCACCTGTAAACACTGAATGGAAGGGAATCAAAGAGACTGTCTCCAACACAATTTTCTCAGCAGAATATACGTGATCCCAGTGATTGTGAGGTTAGCTGTACTTTGCATATTTGTGTCAGGGAAATCATACAGATAATTGTAGCGTGCCTTGCCCATAAAATCAAATCTCCTCTTCTAATTCTCAGCAGGACAGCAAATAAATGAAATTTCAATATCATATTCTTGTATTACAGATAGAATTTTGTAATTAAATGAATCACAGATGACAGAAACACTCAGTGAGGAGGAGCTCATGTTGCAGCTGCAGTAGCTGAGTCCTCAGAGAAAAAGGCCTGCAGAGTTTTCCCCCTGGGGGTGTACTCGATGCTCTTTATCTCACCGCCGTAGTTGCTGGGTTTCTGGAAGTAAATCTCCAGGTGGTCCAGCAGGTCCTCCTCGTCCCCCTTGTCCTCGATGTCTTCCAGGAGGATGGTACGCCTAGAAGAGCCACAGAAGGTCTGAAAGGAATCAGCAGTAGAGGGTTATTGATGATCCCACTGATATGAACATTATTTGGATTTGATATTGAAAGGATACATGTTTTAATAACAACCATTGATTCCACTAGATAGGATATGTACACCTCAGTGTCTAAAATATATTTTTAAATCTTACAAAGATTCCAGATTACAAATATGTAAATGTTTAATAAAAAACTATGGAAGAAATCTTCCTTATTATACGGCGACCTAGGTAATATTTCCTTTAACCCACTGGGGATCCCAACCCAGTCTTTGGGAATTACTGATGTATTTTATAACAAAAAATGAAAAAGCTAAACTAGGATGATACTGACCGAAGGTCTAGCAGTGTGGTATTAAGTACGGCTCCAATATCACACAGCTGACTGAAGAGCGGGTTCAGCCTGTGTGTGAGTGGAATCCAGAACATAATATGCTGCATTTAACCAGTGCTGGATCTCACCTGGAACTTGCACAGCTGGTATTTGTAAATGGGTCCAACCTGCACGGTCACTTCAGAGTCCAGATCCACACGGTACTTCCCTCTCAGGGCCAGGCTCTCAGCAACTACACAGGCAGACAGATCATCAGGGGTTGCACCTTGACAAGGCCCGGCAAACCCGCATGTCGTTGTGTCCTTGGGCAAGACACTTAACCCAACATTGCTCCTGTAGCTGCGACTAGTGTGTGAATGGTAGTTACTGATGGGAAGTGTCACTGTGTATGGTTCTCCTGTCATCAGTGTATGAATGGGTGTGAATGGGTGAATGATGTCATGTAGTGTTAAAGCGCTTTGAGTGGTCGGAAGACTAGAAAAGCGCTATACAAGTACAGGCCATTTACCATTTTACAAGTGCAGCTTGTTGACAGCTGACATTGTGAGATGTGTTTAGGAAATCAAGTTAAGTAGCAAACAATGGATGAGCCCAGACACCACACACCCGAGGGTGGACAGCACCACCTAGTTGATCTCCTCCTTTCAGTATTCACAGCCTCTCTCTCTTTTGGCTCCAACAGCCAGATAAACAAAAGTAAGTAAAATTTATTTGTACAGCGCTTTTCACAGACAAGGTCACAAAGTGCTTTACAATGTGCATAGACATTACAACAGTCAATATAAAATACAAATACAAATTATCAAAAGAATAAAAAAGACGTAGGCTACCCAAAAGCTAGCCTGAACAAATGAGTCTTCACTTGTCCCTTAAAACAGTCCACATTCTCAGCAAACCTAATGCTGGTTGGTAGAGCATTCCAGAGTCTGGGTGCCATAGCTCTGTCCCCATACGTCTTCAGACGTGTGTGTGGCATGGATAGCAGATTTTGATTGACAGACCTGAGACCCCGGGATGGGGTATGTAAGTGAATTATGTTCGCAAGATAGTCAGGGGCCTGACCATTTAGAGCCCTATAGGTTATGGTGAGAATTTTGAATTGGATCCTGTAGGTTACAAGAAGCCAGTGAAGAGAGCAAAGCAGAGGCGTGACGTGGTTGTGCCTGTTTGATCTAGTAACATGCCTGAAAACGGGTCAAGGGTGAAAAAGGTGAGAAGGATATTACCCCTCTAGGGCAGGGCTTTTCAACAGTTTTTTTACCGACTCGGTTTTTTGAATCTCGTTCAGTAAAATGAACGAATCTTTCTTCGAGTCAGAATGCGTATCAGGTTGGCAGGTCTGCTTATTGGTATTGAGTGGACCACTTTACCTTCTGCCTCGTCAGTCCCCTCACCTGAAAATCTACCTCCTCAAAAACGGTAGCGTTAGCTAATCATTTTCCACCGAAGCTTTAGCTAGCTGGCCAACGCCGCGTTCTCTCCTGCTGTGTTAAATGACTCAATTCATCAAGCTGTAGCTAACGTTAGCTAAGTCTATGTCAACAAAGCTCCTGGGTAACTTAACTTGGATATACCATAAAATATTAAAACCATCACTCACCCTGTTCGCAATTCACTGAATCTCGCGCTCCCTTCTGACACGCGCACCTGTTTGCAGTTCACTGAATATGAATACTCCCCCCCCCCCCCCCAAAAAAAACTCATCGAAACTACACGATTCACGTAGGTCACCTATTTTGGTTTCAAAACGCGAATTTGCGAAGGTGAGGGATTTTCATGCCTGTAGTAAGAAGCCTAGCAACGCATTTTGTATGGATGCAGGCGGTGAAGGACAGACTTATTTGGTAAGGAGAAAAGTGAATTACAATAATCAATACGGGAGGAAATGAAGGTATGAATGAGCAGCTCTAGCTCTGGCTGAGAGACCACAGCCCTTAATTTGTTTACCGTATATTCCGCACTATAAGGCGCACTTAAAAGCCTTTAATTTTCTCAAAAAACGACAGTGCGCCTTATATTCCGGAGCGCCTTATATATGGATCAATTGGTTGATTGGTTGATCAATACTGGTTGTACACGGTGCTCAAGACGCTCTGCCATACATGCCAAAGCTCGGTCTACGACGGCGAGATGCTGAGCGGGCGCTGAAGCGCGTGAGATATGGAGCTTGTTTCAGGGCGCGTCGGAGAAACAAAGCTGTCGTTCTTGCCGAGCATTTAATATTTAAAGAGCGAGAGACGGTGCCCTTTTCTTTACAGTAGCTGAACCATCTTAACGGGGAAAATAGGTTATTCTAAAAAGGGCCCTTGGCAGGCGGCGTGGCTGGAGAGCAGCCGAAGATATAAGGCGTGGATGGCGAGGGGGGCGGCGGGAGCATCTCGCAGCATCGATCGGACCCTAAAAGCACAGTCTCCACCTCCCCACATCCCCCCCATCCACCCGCCCCGAGTCAAACGTTAGACTGCAGTATCTTATGCGGAGGAATAGCACTGTCTGGCGCTATGATTAAAACCTCTGTCTGTTCAACTGCAAAAAGCTTTCAGCCATCCAGTTGTTTATGGCAATTATGCAATCTAGGAGCCTAGTAAGTTTGTGTGTTTCATTTTGCCTAAAAGTGAAATGGAGCTGTATGTCATCTGCATAAAAATGATAAGAAATGTTCAAATTGCGGATAACCTCAAATAGAGGCAACATATATAAAATGAATAATATTGGGCCCAACACTGAACCCTGTGGAACACCACAAAACAGGGGCGGTGATGCAGAATGACATTCCTCAATAGAGACATCAAAGGTTCTATCTGAAAGATAGGACGCAAACCAGTCCAAGGCCACACCTGATACACCCACCCATTCATGCAATCGCTTAATCATGATATGGTGGTCGACTGTATCGAAGGCAGAACTGAGGTCTAAAAGTACTAACAATGAGCATAGACCTACGTCTGAGGCCATCTGAATGCCATTATGCACTCTCACCAGGGCCGTCTCAGTAGAATGTCTCTTCCTATAGCCTGACATTTGTCATATATCTCCAAATTCTCTAAAACCACTGTAAGTTGAAAAGGTAAGCATACCAGCGTTTTCACTGGTTGGCACACACAGACACGCTTTAATTTTCTGACATGCGCTCTCTGTCCTCTGGTGGGAGCATGTTCACCCGTGTGTGCACGCACGTCGGAAAATGAAAATGTTGCTGTCCGTCTGCAAACTCCCCCCACCTCGGTAAATCAGGTGCTAACAACAAGAATCCACTGAGACACGTTTGTTGTACAGCTCTGGCCCAGAGACTTTTTACCTCCAGGGTGGAGGAAAGTGATGACTCCTGCCGCGGTGTTCCTGTCGTACTGCACTTTGTCCACCTCTCCTCCTCCCCTGCTGGGCCTGGAGAAACTTATCTCCAGTCGCTCCTTCATTCGCTCCTCTGGCATGCTACGGGGGATGCCGGAAACTTTGAGCTCTTTTCTGGACACATCCAGGTGGACCTATTGCACAAATAAGGGCAGTAAGAATTCAGACCATGTGGGCAGTATGTAACACACTAAGCAGCATTGTTGTGTGAGTCAGTGTTGATGTTGGGAAATGCTGAGGAAGCAGAGTTGACCTGAACAATGCCCACTCAACACTAGGCCGTAAGGTGAACCCTGTTATCGTTTCATCCTGCTCCACAGTCTGGCATCTACACAATCTACACAACGAGCCGTGCTAAGCTACCAAAAAAACGTTCGGCGCTGAAATTCCAGTTGATTGTCGATGAGTCTATGTTTTATGCAGAACTAGTTTCTTCCGAGCGTAATAGGATTTTGGTTGCAAGCGGTGGCAGGGTTCGACACGTGATTGTTTTACACCAATGAGGTAGCTGCTTTTTATCAACAGAATGGCAAGATGGCGGCTCCGGTGGTTTGACTCAAAAGTGGGCCAAATGGATTCTAAACAGTGCTGTATACATGAAGAAGTTTAATGAGGCAAATATACGATCATGTTATGTTAAGTCACTTAATATAAGTTTGAAATACCTGGGAATCCACCTGACGATCTAACATGGACAGTCAGCACACACTGAAGAAATCAAGGCAAAGACTGTACTTTCTACGTCGGCTGAGGAAGTTCAAAGTATCAGCACCCATCAGCTGTGGATAGTGTCCTGACCAGTGCTGTAGTGGTAAAATTAGAGGTTGGTAAACTCTGAATTTTGTGATCATACAGACCTCGACGCGATGCAACTGCGGCAGCAGCCGCTGCTGCAGCCGCAAGGCACTGATTGGATGCTCACAGACCGTAATACAGCGCAGATGAACATGATTCAGACTACGGCGTTTATATGTTCAACAATAGGAAACGTAGTCTTAGCTGTTTTAAATTACACCAAGTTTATTTCGGATTATTCCAACGGAAGAATACAAGGCGCAGGGAACTTTGAGGTGCGTAAACGGCACTTATAGGTGCGTAAGCGCTATTTATAGGTGCGTAAACGCAATTTATAGGTGCGTAAACGCTATTTCCAAAATTCAAGAGGTGCGTAAACGGCATTTACGTGCGTTTACCCTCCACTACAGCCCTGGTGGTGACTCAGGTGCAGAGACAGAGAAAGTCAAGTTGTTTGTAGAGTCAAAAAAGGTTTCTTTACTTGCAAGAGCAGAGGATTCCATATGCTTGACAAAAACTCCAAAATATTCCTAGACAACTAAAACCAAGGTCTGGGCATTTAACTAGGAAACTAAGGGTGTCCCAAAAAAGAGGCAACAGAAGATCTTAAAAACCAAAAGGTATTAACAGAGGAAAGGCATCAAGAATCTCACGCGGCTCAGCTCCAGGTGGCAAGTTCCAAGACACAACAAACTCAAAGAAACTCAGGTGGCCTTTTAAAGCAGTGTTTTTCAACCACGAGAGGCAGTCAGGTGTGCCGTGAAAAAAAATCCTTTTTTACATACTGTCACTTGATTGGTGAAAAAAAAAAGAGCCAACTTGTGTGTTTGTGTGTGTGTGTTGTCGCGCTATTGGTGGTATCAATACTCAATACTCCCCTCTGTCTGTGGGTGGCGGTGCGCAGCGTAATTAATAGGCAGATTTGCTGAGGCGACAATTTTAAAAAGTGAGATTAAGATTAAGGCCAGCGCATGCTTCTGCGTTGCGTCTGCGTCGTTGCGTCAACGCACTCTTTTCAATTCATGCTTCTTAAAAGTCTTGCGTGTGTTGCAGAGCAATTCCCCGCCAGAACAACAGGCAGAGTTACGTGTTTTGTTGAAGACAACCTAGAGAGTCACGTCTATTTATTTGTTTGTTTTTTTATCATAGACTTTATTGCCCCGTGCATCGCCACTGCTGCTTTTCATCGCGGACACATTTGTCCGGCAAACCAGCGTTTGCGGCAATCTCCCTCCGTGAATCCAACCCGCTTATACAAGCCGCCAATGACGGCTTGTATAAGCGGTCATATTTACGCATTTCTTCCCACAGAAGTTCTTAAATCTGATCCGTTCACTCGTTAACATTCTTCGTTTTAATAATGGCGGTATCGGGCTATGAAAGCGGAAATGTGAGCCTCCGCAAAGGACGTAGTTAGCGGACCAATCGCAGCCTGTAGCGCTGCGGGAGGCTTGCGTTGCTTGCGCCGCTTTCGACGCAAGCCTAGAAAAATGGCTCCAAGGACGCAAGGACGCAAGGAGGTGTGAAAAGGCACCCGAGGGACACGCAAGGGGGTCTTGCGTCTGCGTCGCTCTGAAAACGCAGAAGCACAAACTAGGCTTAAGAGATACCTGGGCATAAAGCCTGTGCCATTTTGGCATTAGGATGATGTTAAGTTTAATAAAACACAACAAATAGAACACGCGTTTCCCTGATTTCTTAGAGTTTATTATGCTCATGCTGAAACTATGTTTGGGATTGATTTTCATATCATTTCCGGTTGTTGGTGTGCCGTGAGATTTTTTCTGTGTCTTAAGTGTGCCTTGACGCAAAAAAGGTTGAAAAACACTGTTTTAAAGGCTAGAAAACAAGGCACAGGTGAACGCAATGAAAACAATCAAGACCCCCCCCTCCCCCACACACCCACACACACGTGACAGGTGACAGACATAAACAGGATCACTGAGGACCCCACATGGTCATTCAGGGTAATGCAGTCCAAAAACCCTGACAGATAAGATACCAGTCTCCTGGCTGTAGAGACAGAACAAGTTGGTTTGGAGGCCACCTGTAGGTATAAGAACTGCCTGGCCCTGTTATGGGAAGAGGAAGGTTCTTGGCAGTCTACTGAGCACGTAGCTGTCGTGACCTTTTTTCCCTTGCAAAGAAATAAACGGAAAAAGACATATTTGACTCAGAGCCTTATTCTTATTTACCAATTGTCTGTGCAAAATCTTCCACAACATACAATCAAAAAGAATTGCACCATCCACTGGAACTTGGTCAACCAAGCAGTCTCCACCTTTGTTCTGTAATAGATCCATGAGCACTTGCTAATAGATATGACACAGTTCCCAAGGAATATGACAGAATTTCCCTCATTTTTCCCTCAATTTTTCTGTTCTGACCAAGGTAAGGAGCCTGGAAAATAACTTCTTGTCAGCACACTGCTACAGATTTTTTTACCAGGTCTTGAGTTTTTGTGATTCTGTGGGGGCAAATATGTTAATTGAATTGGATAACAGTCTTTGGTCCATAAATTCTTTACGGCATTTTTACCCTTTTCTGAGGCAACAAGCAAATCCTTCATGCTTCCAGAGCGAAGGCACACAATTCCGTCTTGGTATACATGAAAAGGGTTGAGCATGGAATCAATAGTGGAAATTATTCTGCTCACAGCCTTTTCATCAGCATCGATTCGTGTGGGCAAGGTCTTTGTGTCCGTAGCTCAGGAGATATTCACACTGTCTTGCTATAGCGGCTCTTTCATGCTGTGACACTATCCAGCGATACACTGCAGACCGATTTTGTGTGATCCCTGTCAAACCACCGTTTGTGACTTAACATAAACATAACATTATTGCATATTTGCCTCATTGTTCTTCTTGGACGTGGCTATGTATACAGCACTGTTTAGAATCCATTTGGCCCACTTTTGAGGATGTTCGGGTGTTTTCCTCTTTATCTGTAACGTTCAATCGAACCACCGGAACCATCTTGCTATTCTGTTGACAAAAAGAAGCTACCTCATTGGTGTAGAACGATCACGTGTCGAACCGTGCCACCGCTCGCAACCAAAATCCTATTACGCTCTGAAGAAACTAGTTTTGCATAAAACATAGATGCATTTTTGGTAGCTTGGCACGGCGCTTTTCTAAAAGACTTTTCGTGGTTCACCTTGCTCCGGGTTAGGTTAAGGTTAGGTCTTCTCTGTTGCTCTACTAAAAAGTTTTGTTTGTAAAAAACTTGAATTCATATTATTATTGTATTACTTTTATGTCCTTTAATCAGAAAATCTGGAGGATTACAGATTTATAGGATTAGCCTCTCTGTCTTTCTGTGTCTCTCTCCCCGTCGGTCCTTTGCAGGTTGCTATAATGGGGAAAGTAGACTTGGGACCAAAGCTCTATTTGCACGCAAGAAAAGCAAGCAGGATAAGACACTGCATCTGTTGAAGGTGGACAACAAAACATACCTCAAACTTAACAGTAGGATCCATGGTTATTCTTTTTGGTTTAATATCCAAAATGATGTTCCCACAGGATACGGAGCACTTGGCATTCATCAGGATCTGAGAGGCCACTACAGGTGGGAAACATTGTGTCATCACATGCTAACAGGCTACAATTATATGAATGGGTTTCTCTTTACAAACCCAAACCCTCTCTACACACCCACCTTTCATCATCTCTGTACATACTAACACACCTCAATTCCCTTTTGTACTTGTATTTAGTAGTAGCCTTTCAAACGTGTGAACTTCATGACAGTTGTTGGTACAAAAGCACAGATAAGAAGAGTGCTCCATTCCATCGCACTCCTTAAAACCACAAAGTGGGACTAATCAGAGCCAAGCAAGAAGCAAACGTTTAATAACAGAGTCTGAATAAAACACAAGCCTCTCTTTTGATGTCCAAAACAACAGCCCCCCCCCCCTGCCAGCTGTTTAGTAACAGTGACTTGAGGTTGTTTTAAAACGGTTTCACGCTGATTGTTAGGACTTGTAACTTTTTATGCTTTTTTAAAAATTCATTAATATCTACAAACAAGAGGGATTAAGAAGCCAGTGTACCTTTTTCTTCTTCAAAGGTGATGAGTGCCTGTCCTCCCTGCAGGGGCACGGTGGGTCTCTGGCCGATGGTAAACACTCCTCTGATTGGCTGACTGTTCTCATCCCTCTCCTCTTTACTCTGAGCCTTGAACTCTACCTCTGTGTCTGGAACCTGGGTATAGATCTGCAATGTAATACACAACAATAATGTTCAAAAGTAGAGTTGTTTGTTTTCTTTGATGAATATGCCAATATTTAGCTATATCATTATCATGCTGTATTTTGTTGCTGCTATGAAGTCGCAGTTTGGTGCACTAATATGGTAGATGGACTGACCACTTTCTCACCTTGAATCTGCGCTTCAGTTTTGCGGACTCGGCCCTCTTAGCTTCCAGCACAGCTTGATATCCCTTTAGTTTGTCCAGCAAATTCTGTCTGCGCCCAGCAAGCCGCAAGATTTCCACCTACGAGAGAATTAAGTAAAAACATGCAGTGGATCCATTGGTATTCCCCCAGTAGATGTTATAACATCATAGAGATGACAGTAACTGTACCTGCACTGCATTTATGCGTTCAGTGGATTCCTTCTGACACTCCTCCTGCTTTTTACCGTGAGCCACCAGCTCCTGCTGGGCCTTTGACTTGGCTTCATCTTCCTCCAGTTTTTCCAAGATCATTCTGGCCTTCACATCATCAGCTTTCTCTGCTTTAGTCTTATACGAAATAGTTGGAAATGTTAAGAGAAAAGTTGTATTATATTCTCAGGGCTCAGGGCAGACGGGGGGCGCGGACACTGCGCCCGAAAGGGGGATAACCAACACGGCTCGAACCGGAGTCCGATGTCTTGGCGTGAGGAATTGGATGTGTGGCGGGAGTGCGTGACTAGAGACCGAAATTAGTGCCCTGTATTCTTGTTTATTATTAAGAGGCAGGCACATACACAGATAGACCCCTAGTGGTGGTCAAGCACCTGTCCTTTTGCCCTGGATAGGAAAAGTGCCCCTTCTGCTGGAGCACAATAGTTTTTCCATTCATCAATATTTAAGAATAACAATTACTCTCTCTGTCATCAATTCCCCCCAAATGTGTTTTCATATCCGACGGGGCATTTATTTGAGTTCTTGTGAGAACTTCGGCCCGAACTGCTCCGTGGCGCTCACACGCTCCGCCCGCCCCTCCCTCCTCCTCCTCCTCCTCCGCTTAGTGCTCGTGCTTGGGTTGAGCGCCAAACGGCTGCAGCATCGAACACACAGGTGATGGCGGTGTTTGTGCAAACCCCCAACGTTGTTTAGTGATAAATTAACCACAACATTAGCGCCGCTGAAAACATTACATTGCAACTGGTCCGACGTGTCCTAAAAAATAAACAAACAAAAAAGTCCCAAAATCCGTGATTTCAAAGCCTTGTCCAGCTGTTTACTGACATTTGTCATGTTTAATGAAGAGAGAGAGGGAGATGCAGACAGACAGGCAGAGAATTTAAAGACAGTTTTACTGTTCTACAAATTAGACCCTAGTTTACTAGTTTTGTTTAATATACAATTGTTGAAATGAAAGGTAGGTCTTAAGTTGAGCTACATGACAGTCTGGTGAGGTATGTTGTGGTATATTATTAGTGTAATGCTTCTTATGCTTCAACAGAAAACAGTAGGGGTGGGAATCTCTTGGCACCTCACGATTCGATTCCGATCCAGAGGTCAACGATTTGATTCTAAACCGATAATCGATTCTAAACCGATAATTGATTCTAAACCAATAAAACGATTATCGATCGCATCTCGATTTTCTAAATTTTCTCAAAACTGAGTTTGCTAATCACTTCCTACTTTATTTGATAATTAAATAAAATCAACGGATGAATTACCTTCTCTAATTTTTTATAGGCTACTTCCATATTGTGTTGAAATGCAAGCTGCATTGGTTCTTGCATTGTTGATAGAAAATCATATTTGAGATTTTTTTTTCTCAAATTTGAGATATTCACAAATTAGTGCGGAAATGAGCTTCTATAGTTGTGTGAATTCATCGCTCCAGCCAATCCAAAGACGGGGTTTGTAACCAATCAGATGTAGAGACCATGGTGACTGGCTCCGCCCCCTTACAGTCAGAAAGAACAACAGCGAGCGCGTAGAAAACACCTTCGAGCGCGAGCAGAGACTAACCTCGCGAGCGAGGAAGTTCATGCTCCGCGAGCGAGCAAACGTCTCGCGCGAGACGAACAGGCTTTTGCTGGCGCAAGACACTTTTTTTTTTTTTATTCCGATTATTAACTTTTCTGAATCGAGACCGAATCGTTCTAGAGAGAATTGAGAGAAATCGAAAAATCTATTTTTTCCCCCACCCCTAGAAAACAGTACACATGTGTTGTCAGCTTTTGATTATTATGCACAACATTGTTTATCTCATTTACAAAATTTGCAGCACCATCCACAGTGGATGGTGGTTCTATCTGATGGTGGTGGTCCCTGCAGTGGTCCTGCCGCACCTGGCTTGCTACTCACAATTGTTTGAATCATTTCTGCTATAGGAATTGAATGTATTAAACATCTTTTACATTGTTCATTCTGTACATCTATTGTAGTCTGTCCGTCCCGGGAGAGGGATCCCTCCTCTGACGTTCTCCCTAAGGTTTCTTTCCTTTTCCTCATGGAAGGGTTTAAATTTTTTTCCTGTGCTGATGTGAAGGTTTCGAGACAGAAGATGTCGCATGTGTACAGACTGTAAAGCACTCGGAGGCCAATTTGTAATTTGCGATCTTGGGCTATACAAAATAAAATGAATTGAATGCCAAGAAAAGAGAGATTCCAAAAGAGGAAGAACAGGTAAAATATCCTACTGTGTTTTTATTTATTTATTTTATTATTAGTATGTTTATTTAATGAATCGTTTTGGGTGCTCTTTTGTTTTGGTTTGAGCACTCGCCCCTCAAAATGTGCACGTGCCTGTTAAGAGGTGACAGAAAGGGAATTTCTGCTCAGACGGTCAGCATTTCACACATATTTATATCATTTTTTAAATAAATAAATAAAATCATAATTTGTTAGATCTGATGGTGTTGTAGGACAGCATATATTGTGGGAACCGACACATTTTCCAAAATGCGTTCTCCGTAAGCTGTTGGGAGTGTGCTCACCCGTGTGTGTGGCGGAACTCTGTTCTATAGGAAAGGACTAAAGGACTTCTGTTGTAATCTGGCCTCCTTGAGGATAACTAAATTACAAAGTATTAGCAATAGGCTAGCTAGCACTATGTTACGTTGCAAAGTAACAGTAGGATTACTTACTGCGGTCAACCCAGCCGACACTCTGATTTCCTTGGTTCAACAATCTCCCTCCATGAATCAGAGGCCATCTGCGGGTCCTACAGTCCGCCAATGACGACTTGTATAAGCGGGTCATATTTACGCATTTCTTCCGACAAAAGTTCTTCAATCTGATCCGTTCTCTCGTAAACATTCTTCGTTTTAATAATGGCGGTGTCGGGCTATGAAAACAGAAATGTGAGACTGCGTAAAGGATGTAGTTAGCAGACCAATCACAGCCTTGTGCGCTGCGCTTTCGACGGAAGCCTAGAAAAATGGGTCGACGCACGCAAGGAGGTGTGAAAAGGCACGCAAGGGACACGCAAGGGGGTCTTGGGTCTGCGTCGCTCTGAAAACACAGAAGTATAAACTAGACTTAACCCGAAAAAAGGCTATTTAAATAGCTCATTCCAGACAGTGATAGAACTATGTGTGTACATGACTACTGGTGTACAATAAAATAAATATTTGTACAGTAAAAATTTAGATTTCTCCAAAGTAAAAGCCCTATAATTTAAATTTCAAAAACACCATTTCTCCATATTTGAGCTGCAATAAAACCAGATTTCCCAACAGTTCCAGGCAAAGACCAATGTACCTGTGTTAAGGACCTCTCTGACTAATAGGACGATAAATATCAAGTATTTTTACTGTACAGATTTGGAGATTTCTGCAAAGTAAAAGCCCTATTTTTGCACGTTAAAAAAGTTTCTCCATGTTTGGACTCCCATAAAAATGAATTTCTCAATAGTTCCAGGCAAAGACCAATGTACCTGTGTTAAGGACCTCTCTGACTACTAGCATGCTAAATTTGAAACATTTTTACTTTACAGATTTGGAGATTTCACAAAAGTAAAAGCCCTATTTTTTCAAAATAGCTTGAACTTCAAAAGTTCAAAAACACCATTTCTCAAAGTTTGAAATGCAATAAAAACAGATTCATCAATAATTCCAGACAAAGACGTACATTTATCCGTACGACACTTTCATGACAATAAATTTACTGAATATTTTGTATATACAAGTTAAAGATTCTCGAAAGTAAACATTTGTCTAACATTTATACATTCATGGACATCTTTGATCTTAGTAAAAAAATAAAATGACCTTTTAGTAGGTTCTTTGACACAATTAACAAACGTGAATCCTAACATGGGGGGTCTAGATGGAACAGACCTGGGCGGCAGATGCTGGCTCTGGGGACGGGGAACGTAACCTCTCTGGGGGGGAAGGAGCCGGAGCTTGTGCAGGAGGTGGAGCGGAATCAGTTGGATATGGTGGGGCTTATTATTTCTTCCGTAGTAGTCAGAGAGGTCCTTAACACAGGTACATTGGTCTTGCCTTGGAACTATTGATGAATCTGGTTTTATTGCAGTTCAAACTTTGAGAAATGGTGTTTTTGAACTTGCAAAAATAGGGCTTTTACTTTGCAGAAATCTCCAAATCTGTACAGTAATAATGTTTCAAATTCAGCATGGTAGTAGTCAGAGAGGTCCTTAACACAGGTACATTGGTATTGCCTTGGAACATTTGATAAATCTGTTTTTATTGCATTTCAAAAATGGAGATATGGTCTTTTTGAAAATATTTCTCTTTTCTTACAATAGTAGTCAGATATGTCCATAACACAGTCTAACACAGTTAGTCTTTGACTGGAATTATTGAGAAAAGCATTTTTATTGCAGTTCAAACTTGAGAAATGGCCCTTTTGAACTTGAAATATAGGATAATTATCTAACTTTGTACAGTAGAAGTATTCCTTTTGTTGTACAATAGTAGTCAGAATGGTCCTGAACACACATACTTCAGTCATTGTCCAGAATATTTGATTATTATATTGATTTATTCCGGTTACTTGTTCAATACCGTAAATATGAGCATACACGTGCACTACAATTCAAGCGTCGGCTGAGTTGACCACGGAAATCCAAGTGTCGGCTGAGTTGACCGCAGTGAATATTGGGATAAGTTACTAAGTAAAATTAAGAATACTTAGGATAAGTTAACGCTAGGCTAACTAGCTTAACGTTAATTTTATTGTTATGTAACGCGGAGTTTCCGCCCTGCTGACGTCAACCTGTGACGTTACGTGGCCCTCTGGGATGTGGAAGGCTCAGGGAGTCAGGAGAGTAACTCTTACCTTCCAAGTCTCCAACTCTTTCTTTGCTTCCTCTGTGTCTTCGGTGTCCTCCTGCACACCCCCGCCCTCCTGCCCGGGAGGAACATGTTATCGTGATGCGATCACTCACCTCTTCACCGAGAAGTCACGTACGCAATACTTACCTGGCCATTAACCGGGCGGTTATTGCAGATATCCGCCATGACCTCACGGTTTGGAAAGAGAATATCGGTAAACAAAGTAGCTAATATTATATTAAATGAGCCAATAGTTGGGGTAAAACGATCACTCCCTGTTGAGTACTTCTTTGCTGTACGCTGTACTTTGCTGTCGAGGTGTCCTAAAGTGAGAATACGCACAGAGCAGCTGCGGCTCCCAAGGACAGGAAACAAAAGTGAAAGTAAGACGGGACTGACGATGGCGCAGAAGTCATGGCGGAAGGAGAATAGAATGAATAAACATTTCTGTCAGCCAATTGAAGGTAGCGGATCACGTTGCAACACCTCCCCGAAGAGTCGACTGTTCTTTACAGGCATTTCCTACATTGTTTAGAGGCACCTTTTGAAAGCAGACCTGCCTGTCATCGCTGAAATCAACACACAAATACAAAAATACAGACACACAACGCAAAACTCAACAACATCAAACGTTGCATTTAAAACAATGTTGTTTCTTCTCAAAAATTGCATGTTGTGTCTAAATGACACACAAACAGAGACAGATACACACTATCATATGGCATTTCTGTGAAGCGATTGAAGAGGGATCAGAGTTAACAAGGTCTAATTATTAAATAGAATGTGATACGGGAAGAATTGGCCTGCATGCCATCTGCTACAGGAAGAGATATCTGTATGAATGAAGGAACATGTTTACCCTCTGGTCCTTCCCTTTGTGCATATGTTTATAACTGCTGCTCACCGTTCCCAACATATTTCAGCATAACTTGTGTATAAGAATAAAGATGAAGATTTCTATTGTACATGATTTAATTTCAAGTGCCATTGGACTCACACAAGCTAAAGACATGATACACCCGCTTGGACAGCTCATATATGATTAATGGAGGGGAGTTCTTCCTTATTTGATTACAAAATCCTACATTATTATGTTGTCTGACAGTTAGATGTGTACATTGATATTTACATCTGGACTTGATCTATGGCTGGTTGGATAAAACATATAAGAGGTGAGATGTGATGGAGACATATCCAAAATGGACATTGAGGGTGTTTTGGAAAAACTGCCATAATATGTCTTGTCATACTCATATTCAGTACTGCTAATGAAACGTGTTACCTTCTGTGTAAATTCCCCCAATTAACTTCAATAGAATTGGCACTAAAGTCCAGTATCATTGCAAAATCTGAATCCTATCAAAATGGCTTTTCTGCAGCCCCACCAGCCCTTGTCACCACTGTGGATTCCTTCTGTGTTCTGGGCTCCATCATCACCCAGGACCTCAAGTGGGAGCTGAACATCTGCTCCATCGCCAAGAAGGCTCCGCAGAGGCAGCTGAAGAAATTGAGTTCATCCTCTAGTCCTCCATCACCATCTGGTACGCTGCTGTCACAGCCAAGGGCAGGCTGCAGCATGTCATCCGCTCTGCAGAGACTGTGATCTGCTGCAATCAGCCGTCCCTCAGGACTTGTTCGCCTCCAGGACTCTGAAGTGAGCTAGAAAGATTGTACAACCTGTTTGTGTCCCTTCCATCTAGCAGGAGGCTGAGGCTATTTTTTCTTTTTTGCTACATACTGTTAGAACATCTTTAATGGATATTGTAGGATATTAGAAACAAATTGACGACCCGGTTCATAAAATGTATAAAATTGCATATAGTGTACACCAGAATACAGCCATTATTCTGAAACTGTGTAATTAATAAAGTAATGACAATATTGTAAAACCACTGTAATTCCGCAACTGTAATAGAATAATACCAATGTACAGTTATGATTGTATTTGATGTAATGTAATCAACTGGAATGCATGCATGTAATACTTGAACAACTGATATTGACTATGGGCCAATGAAATCCGAGTTACATTGAACTCACCAGAAGACTCCCAGAGGTGTGGACACTAACTTTCACACCTTTAAGCATTGTTATAAATAGATGTAGGAACCATTGTTCTCGAGTTCGCTGGTGGAGGCAACAAATGGGCACTAGGGATGGTCAAAAGGACTAACCTGGGGCCTGTTGGTTGCTGAGACCAGCGGCTCCTCAGCTGAGATGTTCTTTTTACCACAACACCATCTCTTTTATTAAATACATTTGATTTAACCTTTTGATCTGCGGTGACGTCTGTCCGTCCGGCGTTTCTTCATTTTTGAATACAAGAATATTATGAATCAGTCTTTGTTGAAAGGACATTGCAGGGATGGAGCTACCCCCGCGGGTTCTGCTGGAAGTACGGATGGACACAGCTTAACAATATATTTTATTTTTATTCTGCAGTGAGTGCAGGTCCGGGCTTCCTTGCTCGCTCGCTCGCTCCAGTCTCTTTCCGGCTGGGCGTCTGGTCCAGTCCCTTGTGTCCGGCTGCTCACTGTTTCATAGGCGAGACAATCAGACCATATCTTGTTCAGCTGTGCTTGTTAACTACTTAACTAACCGGCACGTTCCCTGAACCACTCCCCCGCTCTCTGCAGCTGAGCAAACCACACCCGCCACAACAGACATCTACCACAGTCTGTAATCAAACCTCTTCTTAAGAAACCTACTCTTGATCCAAAGGTTTTGGTTAACTGAAGACCTACAGTACTACTGAAAAGTTTAGACATTTTCTCATTCAAATAAATAAGTGAGTCCAAACCTTTGACTAGTCCTATATCTCCGATCTTCCCTTCCTCTCTAAGATCTAGAGAAAGCAGTTGCGAATCATTTGTGTGACATTCTACATAACAATGGTTTGTTGGAGTGGTCTCAGGTCAGGATTTAGGGTGCATCATAGCACAGAAAGACCGGTGAAAATGACGCATGATAACTCAAGTCTTCTCTGCTGGCCGTAACAGAATCATAAAGTTATAGCTATTTTACTTGGATTTTTTGTAAATACACTACATGTATTATAATTATTTTCTCATTGCACATCTCCTGTCTGCCTTCCTAAGAAGAGCTTTTATCCAATCAGATTCAGCCCCCTGTATCTCTATGCGAGGCCTGGGGACCTCTAGGTACATTCTAAAAGAAAATCCTAATTTTATAGAAAATAACAAACAGTATCTGTAAATTAACAACCCAGTTGTTCATTTAAGCACTATGCTAATAATGACAAATGATATTTCTTTCTCATTTTTGTACAAAACAAATAATATTTATACAGTATTTTTAATCTTAAAAATACAAGTTTATCGAAAATAAAAATAATTATCTGTAATTAAATATCTAGCCCCTTATAGTGTGTATATCCAACAATTTAACACTTGTTTGTCATTTTAAAGTAAATCATATTGGTTTTATACCAATGTGTACAGCTCTAATTCTGGATCTCGATTTAGCTATTGTTTTGTATTATAATAATGCAGTCTACTTTAAAACTCTGAAGTTGAAACTTTCAGGCATGTTGCACCTCTGGCTACATACTATCTGTGATGTCACAGTGACTAGACCCGCATACAGGTTTCAACCTCAAGATGGCAGTGCAGCCTTATCCTTGTGCCATGTTTGCTCATAATCATTTATCGTCAATAATGTTACAGTTCAAGGGTGTTGTTACACACCCTTGAACCTGGGGACGGATGCTAATTGCCGTCCTCTATGGATTTCTCCCAATTCTATCCCCAAAGAGGGTTTTTGGGGAGTTTTTTATCCTGTCAGGTAGTAGATGAGCAACTGAATGTAAGACAGCCGATTGAGACAAATGTCTTCAGTATTGGACCACATGGACTGTATTAGATCTCATGATGTAGTGTGATGAACTGTGATCATTTATGATGTGTTGTAATTAAAGTGTACTCATTATAAGATGAAGACAAACTATGCATGCTTTGTTATATTCACACATTGAGGCATAAAGCCAACGTATTGGAATGTGAGGGACAGATAAGGCCGAGAGGTTTCAGGTTACAGCTGCAGCTTCACACCTCGACGTGAAGGGGACAATCCAGGAGGAGAGACACTTTGAAGGAGAATCCAATGACATTCAAATGCACCCAAGAAGACACACCTCAGGAGTTTTCAAATTACCAAAGCGGGGAAAGGACTGTTAGAATTCTCCTGCAGCCGCTTTGATAAGTCACTTGCTCAGAGATTTCACAAAATATTCCACTGTTCGCATTGTATTTTACTATGTAACTGTATTCCTTATTACTTTGTTTAGTTATTAAATACTTTTTGATTTTTAAATTTCAGCAAGTTGACTCTTTTGATTCTTCATTTCCGGCCGGGACGAGAACAAAGGAGTGAGGCCTCCTTCGAGGGCTTTCCGAACCCTTAACAATACATTGGACTGGATCGTTTATTTCATATCCATTAATTAACGTCAATGTTGCTCTGGTATGTGCTTGCATTGTGTCCGCTCATTAAGAATCCACGTTTCCATACTGATGTTCACGTGTATTTTGTGTTGGAACACTGTGACAACTAGAAAACACAAACAGCTTCATGTACAACAACAAAACGCTAATTTTCTGTATTTCATCATAACAACACGAATAACAGTACTTCAACGAGTCAACTGAATCAACTTCACCATGTTCGCCTGGTAGACCAGCAGTGGATTAAAAAACGGGAAAGAAAAGTTCGCTGCTATCACCCGCCTTTTCTGGTCCTTGACTTCCGTTTAAACATCCGGTTTCAGGCTATTTTACAAAACAAAAGCTTGTCTGTCACCACGCGCAAAGCATGTAAAATCAAGCAAACAATTATCAATTTAACACAAAGTAATCGAATATACAGTAAAAATTATATTATTATAATTGCAGAAATAACATTTAAACAACTAAACTTCAGGTGTTGTCATGGCAGCGTATGTGCCGGTCAGCGTCAGCTAGATGTATCACTTATTCTAGCATACAAATTTTCCATTCTTGTTGACCTTTACCGTGAAAATGTACATACTTCCGGCTTAGCTGCTGCGCTTTGTATTTTGTTTGATAGAATAAAAAGGGGATTAACGAAAATAAAAGTCGGTCGTTTTTTGATTTTGACAAAAGTCACGTTTACAGGACAGTTTTTGTTTCATGTTTGTTATTCACACCGGCCAACGGCCGGCTGATTCCTTTAAAGCTGCCGTTTCTGAGAAGGAAGGAGTTTCGTTTCGCGGAGTTCCCCTTCTTGTTCCAGTGAACGCAAACCAGGAAATACGTTCATTATATTGGAACACGCTGCGTATTGGCCCCACTTCATTAACTGACATGTCAGCTGCTGTTTGTACCTTTATCCTGACGTTTTTCACCGTACTCGGACCCACAGGTAATATCATATGCAATTGTCTGCTTGTGGTGAACCATTGACCTGAGCGTATACAAGCGTGTTATTACTGTACTGACGTGCTTGTAGACGGAGGAGATAGTGGTTGTTTGTTAGTCTCGGACTCTTGTCATCAAAGGGGTTTTTGTAAAGACTTTCAACTGCAACAACACGGACTAGAATAACGTGGGTGTTGACTCCATGACAATGGCAATCATAGACACAACATCCGTAGTTATTATCGAGTGGAGTTTAGTGATTATATTAACTTTGTATCCCATTCTTTGGGGATTTGGACTCTGCAGTTGTATCAGGAGTCCTGAGTCCACCCACAAATGTCCGCTTGACCTCCTATGACATGAATCTGTTGCTGGTATGGGATTCACCTGACGGTGCAGCCAGCGGCCTCGTCTACACAACTCAGTACAGGTGAGTCAACACAATCTAAGCACCAACACAACCTCCGTCAGGTGTTGGTGCTGCACACCTATCAACGCTGTGGATTGTTTTCATTAGCAATTATTAGATGGATCAATTTGTCCAGAAAATGAAAAAATAATTTCCTTTATTATCCTTCCTTTTTAGGGCTTAAGACATTGAGGTTGTCATATTAAAATGGTATATTTTTGTACAGAAACCCAATTGGCCTTTTGCATTTAAGCTGTTGCACCAGGGTGTTACAGTGAAAAGTGTACATACGTCACCCACATTTATTTTAATGATCTGACTAGCACCTTTAGGCATGTTCAAGAATATGTCAATAATCTATTACAAATCCATGAGGATTGAATAGTTCAAAGTCTCTGAGGTCATTTATTATTGTAAATTGGTTGGATTGGATGTCATCAAATTCATCTCAATTATTGAAAACCAATAATAATTAAAGCTACTAAGCAGCGTTGGACGGGTCCTCGCTACTCCGCACGTCGGGGCACTGGCCGGAGGGCTAGAAACCCAGCAAAGAACTCGTGCGGCCGTCGGACAGAGCGTCCGAGAGTCAGTCGTCGTTAACCGCGTGGAGCGACGCGAAATCTCATACATTACCAAACCTTCTCTTAAATCTCATTCACCAGCCTTCTAATCAATTTCAGATGGGATTTAAAGAGGAAACTATCAATAGTTAGATGATCATTTCACTTCAGACGGATAGTACACATCCCCAAGGTGTCACTCGGGACATTATGATGTACTAATTCAAAATCAAAGCCTCTCAAAATACCATATATGCGCCAATTTCCTTCAAATTCTCCATCACGAGACTACTTTTGGTCAATTTCAGGTTAGAATTAAAATGAAATCATCAATAGTTACATGATAATTTCACTTCAAACATCCCCAAGGTGTCATCCAGGGATAATCAGGACATTCTGATGTACAGTACTGTTCCAAAATGAAAGCCTCTCAAAATACCGTACATGAGCCCAAATCTTAATCACACAACTTCATCTGGTCAATTTCAGATTAGATTTAAAAGGAAAAATCGATAGCTATACAGTATTTCTACTTCAGGCAGAGAGTACACATCCCCAAGGTCTCAATCAGTGATAACCAGGACATTCTGATGTACCATTTTACAAATTAAAGCCACTCGAAATGCCACCTTCGTTTTTAATTGGATACTAGAAAATGTGACTTCCTTTTACCAGTAGGTGGTGCTATGACTTGATTCAACTTTACATCTCTTTCAGCCTCCTCAAACATGTGTAGATTGGAAATAATCTGATGTGGAGTAGAGTTACAACGGTTTAGTTGTTCTTGGCGAAGGATCGGCTTTGCCGATGCACCATCTCGCCACCGATTTTCAGAGGGATCAGATTAACCTGTGTGCAGGGTGTAAAAAAAAAATTGAATTTGAAAAGAATCGGGTTTAATCCCTGGGAGGAGTTCGGTCTTTTACAACTCTAGGAAATCATGAAAATAGGCCAAAAATAGGCCCAAAAGGCAGATTCTCAATGATTAATTGCAGCGCCCCCTATTCTTCAAATATTCTCAAAAAATTAGGGTCTTTTCAAGGGTTCAATGTTCACATGTGTTACACGTTTGGTGATGGCAGGCCAAATTATTTGGAAATTATGAGTCTCGCCAGATTAAGCCACACCCCTTGCAAAGTTCATTAGCCCATATCTTCTCAAAACAAGACTATATCAACAAGATATTAATCTTGAGGCGGGGGGACATTGACCCAATAATGATCCACAGAAAATTTTGTGACAATTGCAGATAGCGTTTAGGAGAAATGGCCAAAAAGGTGTTAGGCGCATACCATGATTGACTTTTTTGTAGAGCACATTTGTGCCAAATTTCAAGTCAATCGGACATCGGGTGGGAAAACTGGCCTAGTGGGGTACTTTTCTACCTTTCTAGGGGGCGCTATGGAGACATTTCTTCGTACCCAAATGCGAGACCCACAAAATATCAAATTTTTCACCAATTCTGATATGCGTGCCAAACAACAACTTTTTGAATATGATAAGGGCCTGAAAAAGGGAAAATTCCTTAGAGAAAAAAATAAGAAGAAGAATAATTCCTTGAAATACAATAGGTTCCTCTACAACAAGTCATAGTTAAATAAAAGGATAATTAAGGAATAAAGGAAGGTTGGTTTAGTAAAGTGGCTAGTGTAGTGAGTTTAATGGATTATTACATTTGTTGATATCTATTTGAATTGAGGCTTTAACAGACACATTTTTCAACTTTGGGTTGGTTTCAGATATAGAGCGGATTGTTTTGAAGATTGAAGATTGGTGGCTCAATCCCTGTGTCATCCTGTCCATGTCAAATTGTTCTTTGGCAACACACTCCTGATGGGCAGGTGGTAGCTTGAATGGTCCGTGTACCTTTTGATTGTCCCTTTTACTGTAAAAACCATAAAACGAAAACACTGTTTTCTCGTTTTAAACCAAAAGCGGTAAAACTGAAGTGGGCAGTCGTTTTCTTGTTTTTCGTTTAGAAACCAAAAACGGCTAGTTTTAGTTATCTAAAGTGGTTAGCTAATACGTCCTAGTATTATATATTCACGGGAGAAAAAGGAGAGACCGCTATCGTCTCTTTGGTTTGGGAACTCACACTGGCCGCATGCACACAATAAACATCCTACCGACTTTGAGACACAGCTAATATGTGGAAAATAAATATCAGAGCCAAGAGCAGCGAGTGTGCAACAACAAACCACTTTGATTAAACTATATGTTTAATGATATTATTAGCCATACTGTATTATTACCTAAATTTTCAACGACCGTATTTTCCGCACTATAAAGGCGCACTTAAAAGCCTTTAATTTTCTCAAAAAACGACAGTGCGCCTTATAATCCGGGGCTCAATTGATTAATCGGTTGATCCATACTGGTTGTACACGGCGCTCAAGGCGCTCTGCCAAACATGCCAAAGCTCGGTCTACGACGGCGAGATGCTGAGCGGCGCTCAAGCACGTGAGATATGGAGCTTGTTTCAGGGCGCGTCGGAAAAACAAAGCTGTCGTTCTTGCCGAGCACTTAATGAGATTAAAGAGCGAGAGACGGCGCCCTTTTCTCTACAGTAGCTGAACCATCTTATCGGGGAAAATAAGTTATTCTAAAAGGAGCCCTTGGCAGGCGGCGTGGCTGGAGAGCAGCCGAAGATTTAAGGCGTGAATGGCGAGGGGGGCGGCGGGAGCGGCCGCACCTCGCAGCATCGATCGGACCCTGAAAGCACAGTCTCCACCTCCCCACATCCCCCCATCCACCCGCCCCGACGTCAAACGTTTGACTGCAGTATCTTATGCGCCTTATAATCCGGTGCGCCCTATACATCAAAAATGTTCTAAAACAGGTCATTCATTGAAGGTGCGCCTCATAATCCGGTGCGCTTTATAGTGCGGAAAATACGGTATATTGCATCAAACAGTGAACCAATGAGTATCGCTGTGTACATGGATGAATGAAAAATACACCTGCGTGTAGTCAACTACTGTTGCTAACCCACATCCCGTCGGACCCAGATTATTATTTATGTATATACCACTGGCATCGCAGATGGATTTCTAGCATACAAACGTTCTATTGCGTTGACTATGAAGCCAAATCCAGGTCAAAGGTTTTGTTAATTTGAAAAACATATGTGAACCATGTTTTGGTCTTGAACATTGAAAAATACAACAATGTATTCAAAATAAAAATAAGTGCACGAAAAGTATTTTCGGGTTGAATATAGTTTTGACTATTTGAATAAAATATTTTTTTCGTTCTTGTATTTATTATTTGATATTTTTCGGCTACGGATTTTATATTTTCAATTTCAGATTTTTTTTTCGCATTGACCTTCTTGTTTCACATTCACACTTTTGATCCTGATGTGGCGTAGGCGGCGGGGCATCAACTGGGAGGGGCATGTAGTCAATCGCAATAAGCAAATACACATTACACTGTAGACCAGGGGTGCCTAATAAGTAGATTGGCTGCCATTGAAAAAAAAAAAAGTCACTTGCGGCTACCACGCATGCGCAAGTGACCGCGGGAGCTAATGAAAAACTTGCTAACGCTAATTAATACTGACATTTTTTTATGGCGGCAAATCACTGTCAAAATTCGAGAGCGCAAATAGTTAATGCGCGCGCGTAAATCAAACATCTGCGAGCAAATCTCAAGCAAAAGTCTGTCTCGCGCGAGCAGTTGTTCTTTTTGACAGTAAGGAGGCGGAGCCAGTCACCATGCTATCTACATCTAATTGGTTACAATCGCCGTCTTTGGATTGGCTGGAGTGATGCATTCACACAACCATAGAAGCCCATTTCCGCACTAAAAGGGGATAGAAAGGCTAAATTATGAGATAAAACGTTGTCAAAACACAAACGACACCTCTCTGTAACCGTAGTGGACCTTAGATGACAACCAGCTACAACCATCATTTACCATTCAAAAGCAACCTAGTCTGACTCCAATCAGTCACCTGAGTGACCAAGAATGTGTGAAATGGTTGAGATTGCTTCTGATAGGCGAGAGGGTCGTCGTTTTTAATAGCAATTCATTTTGCGTTGTTGTTGGGTTTAGATTCCGCTACTGCTCGTTCGCCCGACTACTAGATTGAAAAGTAGCCTGCGAGCCAGTGAGTCGAGTGTGGACACCCTGCTGTAGACTGTGATGACCGGGCTGGTGACTCTATAGCAAGAATCACAGAAGAGTGGAGGAGAGTGCAAGAAAGCCCGGGCAAAACACAAGATTAAACACAACAGTTCAGAACAACAGGTTAAATTGAGGGAAATGTAAAAAATGCTGTCATTTTCAACACAGGTAGTCCATAATACAAGTACTGTATTCTGTCCACAGAGCCTACTTGTCAGACTACAGAGTGGGCTGTGTGAACATCTCCAGCCTTGAATGTGACTTGAGCCACCTCTCCAGCTCCATATCGGAGTATGGAAAGTATACTGGCAGAGTGCGGGCACAGTTGGGGACAGAGAGCTCCGCCTGGATGGAAAGTAACCAAATTACCTTGGACCAAGATAGTGAGTAAACTCCCTTTGTTATGGCTTGTTACTATAAAACTGCAAGATTATGTTTTTCCATCATTTACAAATAATTTGTTTTTCAAAGATCCTTCAAGAATCCTGCAAGAAATCCTTTTGAAGATGGCCTGTTAGTACTTAAACGATCCTCCTTAAAAGGTCATACCTTTATGTTCACACGTATACCAAATATTTATGTGAAAAAGGAAGTGGAGTTTCTTTCAGAACTTTTGCATCCCGATCAGAATCGCATATATGGAATTTCAATCCAGTTTTAGACTTTTTTTTCCCCTCACATAAAGTATGTGTGCGTCTCCCCTTGGTTTACAGCATAGGTCTCAAAACTCAAGGCCCGCCCAGGGGGGTCTAGTGCAGCCCGCCGGATGACTTTGCTATTGTTAGAATTACAGAAAGACATACATTGCATTTCTATAAAAGTAGTGGCTATTCCTTAAAAGTCCACTGGCGGTCACACTCTGAGTGAGCACATGCGTTAGACCAGGCAGTGTTAATTTTGGCAGCTATTTTTTATTTAGTCTTTTAGTCACATTTAGTCACATTTAGTCATTTTAATCCTTCTTAGTTGTAGTCTAGTTTTTGTCGATGAAAACTCGAATAAAATGTAATTGTTTTAGTCTAGTTTTAGTCACATTTAATAGCCATATTAAACTTATTTTCTTCCCTTCTCAGGCTCAGGGACCCCCTGTGTTGTGTCTACAACTGCATAATAGTCTAGCTTGCAGTACTTGGTTGTCCATTAGATGTCCCTCATAGGACAGGTCTATAGCAGGGGTCAGCAAACGTTTTGACTCGCGGGCCACAATGGGTTGTAAAATGTGACGGAGGAGCCGGGCCAAGAACAAATGGTTGAAGTGTTTGTGCGAGCTAATATAAATGACATGTGAAAAATCATTACATGAAAGGATTTGGATTTTAACAAATAGCAAAGCATTTATTTGCAAGGCAATTTAACAAATTGGCCAAGGTGTAACAACTTCATGAGGACCAGGGACCTAAACGCAACACTTAGTTATCTTTGTCTGTTTACTTGCAATGCTTTTGACGTGGTCACCGGAAAATTCACGGTCCTTTATTGTTTACACTGTCCCAACAAAAAAGACCTTAACGTCCTACAATTGCTGCAATACATTATTTTCTTGGCTTCAGAACCTGCAATGAGTTTATTACGTTAGACGTGTTTGGAGAAACCTGTAACGGAGCGTCTCATCCAGCCGAGGAAATGCTGCCTGCCGTCGCCAGAGAACAGAGCAGAAAGGTCCGACAGTCTGTTAAACGGGTCTTCATGTTTCTGTGAAGCAGCGCGGCTTCAGCCTGCTAACAGGCTGCTAAACCGAGACACCTGAGCTAAACTAAGGAAGCCACATTCAAACTCGCCGAAGCGTAAAATAGTTGTCGCGGTGCGTAGTCGGTGCACAAGAACCACCGCTGCACCGATGCGAGCCGCGTTCTGGGTTCGTGGATGACGTCATCATGGAATCAGGAAACATTTATTAGCCAAAATATGTGACATGACGCGTAAATAACCGCCATACTTGTCTGTTGTCTGTCAGCTGCGTGCGAATTTAGGGGGGAAAAGTATTGTGACTTCGTCAACCACCAACATGTTCGTCTCGTCTCGTCTGGTTAACGAAAGTTAGAATAGATTTAGTCATAGTTGTTATTTTTTAAGATTGTTTTCGTCACGTCTTAGTCATGGAAAAAAGGTTTGTTAACGAAAAATTAGTAGTAATTAAATAGTTTTCGTCGACAAAATTAACACTGAGACCAGGAGGACCAGGTTGTTCACCAACGCCGTGCCAGTAGATCCCTTTCATTGAAAAGAAAAAACAAAATCACGTCTGACAGACGGAGAGGCTCGTGGCCTTTTCTATCCATTAGTTTTGCACTTCCGGTATGCAGCACTGTTGTACCGTTTGGTTACTGCTCAATAATATTATTATTATTATTCGGGCGACCTGCCCAAGCGGGAGGGGGGGTAGATCGAGTTGGATCGAAAAGTTTAGTGAAATGTAGCTTATGAGCCAAAAAAAGTGTGAGGACTCGTTAAACCTCATTCAAGTACTCTGTATCAGGCATATTTTAGCGCAGTTTCCACAGATGAACAAAATAAAATCTCAGTTACGTTAATGACAAAAGTGTTTTCTCGAACATGGCACGTCCTTTTCTGGACGATCCTGTTGATGAAGAAGCGCTATTACTTTGAATATTGATATATTGTCATTTCCAGATAACTACTTGTTTGAACGGTATTGTTTTGCTTTACAGTCCATCGAATATGTACATAATCTCACCCGTCCTCATATAACTAACGTCACTCATCGTGGACGTGCTCCCACATCCGAGCACATTCTTTGTGTAGTATTACGTTTTTTGCAAACGGCAGTTTACTTCACAACATTAGAATATTAGTAAAGCTGCTGCGAAACATGTGCGTCGCTCTGAAACATCTTTTAAGCGTTTTAGTTCCCTGGACACAAACCAGTGAGAGCCATTAAAGAGGAGTTCCATAGGATGCACATGAATAAAACACATTATAGGTTCAGTACCATTGTACCAGTTTTTACCAGCGATATTATTGTTGTGATTAAATAGGAGCAGGGGTGTGTATTTCAAGCCTGTGTGTAGTGCATTCTAACAAACAGTGTAAAAACTGGGAATTAGTAAAACGCATGTACGTTTAATGTGTGTACATTAAATATTAACTGACAACACTATATTGGAACTGGCAGCGATTTTCTCCCAGGTCGTTTCTGTCTTTTCTTTCTAATTATGGGTTCATACTCGCCTTACGCTTGCATTAATATTTCCAGCTCAATAGGGGTGAAGGTTGCCGATTTGTTTGTGGTTATTGCCATGGTAACTCGTAGTATCATGGTTCCATTGATGCTGCCTTCATACTGTGGTGGTGCACACGCTCAACCTACTCAGAGTTGATTGAACCAACTCCAAACAGCTGTTCTGAAACCGAAAACTCAGTTTCCCATCTCAACTCGGCCCTAAATCAACTCGGAGTTTAGGGTTTGACTCAGAGTTTGTTAAACCTCCTACTTGAAACGGACTCCTGATGTGCACCGGAAGGTTGTGCTGCTGTTCTCATCAGCCTCGCTCTATAGCATTATATTTTATTTTAGTCCTCGTGTTGTCTTGTCGTCCATTGGTGTACTGTCTGCTGTTACGCACCAACCGCCAAGTCAAATTCCTTGTATGTCTGACATATTATGGCAATAAATAATAATTTATTAATAATAAAGGGGAAGGCATCATTACAGATTTGTGTCAGCTGAGGATAATTAAGCCTCTCCCACCACCGTTCCCTGAACCACTCCTCCCATCCCCCATCCATAGGGAGCCCAATCATGCCCCGCCGGCCCAAAACCTTTTGAAATGTCTCTAGCTAACCTCTGAGGGGAGCGTATAAGTTGACTCGCCCCAAAAACCAAATGAAGGAGATGTGATCTGAAGCATAAGCGTCTATGGAGCAATGCAACATAGTTGTCAGACCTTTGGCAGAGCTAGTTATGCTACGAGTTACTTTGGTCAGTGTGTGTAGTTGGAGCTTTAAAAAAAAAGGAAAAAGTGGAGAGGTGGCAGGTGTCACACTGTTGGGTGAATTGAAAGTAGTAGAGCTTAAAGCACATTTGTGACAAGAAAATAAATAACTTTGCTGGCACACATTTTTTATTTCAAACCCATTTGCTTTTGACTGAAGCTTTGTTAACTCTGCTCTCTTCTTCCCCCTAAGCCATCATCAGTTCTCCCAACGTCTCTCTCTTCTCCAATGGGGCTGCTATTGAAGTCAGCATTAAAGATCCCGTGTTCACAATCTCTGCACTCAGGAAGGCTTACCACTCTGCCACTTACAACATCACCTATTGGAAGGATGGCCAGATGGAGAAGGTAGGGCTGGGCAGTACACCAGTTTCAAACTTCCTCACGGTATACGATGTCATCGGTGCCTAGCCGTGACAGCTGTGTCGGTCTTTGACCGGCAGCACAATATATTGTTCACCGCTGAGAGCACAGCTACTTGACTTACGTGTATTGAGATGGAGTGATGGTTGTAACTTTATAACAATAACCCATGTTTCAGCTCATATTGCTCAGTTTGCCAGAAAGCTTTATCAAAAATCCCACGGGCATGTCGCGGTGCACCCCCACCCGTCACCTTTTTCATCCCTCATGAGTTTGCAGGTATGCACTCAAATCAGCTACACCCTTCAATATTTAAACAAAGTGTCACGAACGGAGTAAGCAGAGGCGGGACTCAAACAAAAAGGAACCAGGCACTTACAAGCACGAGATTCAGGAATGACGCGACAAGGGACAAAAGACACACACTGCCTAAATACTCTGGGAAGGTGTAGGTGATTGGATACAGGTGGTGGTGACACTGCAGACAATCACAGGGGATGACAGGACAAGGCAGGAAGTGAAGTTTGCCCAGGGACCGTGACACAAAGGGGATGGCTGCAGAGCCAAACCACGCAGTCTGATTTTCCAAATACAAATGTAATAGTTAATTCATGTTTGTAACATGTTGCTAGTTCATTTAAGATTTAAAGAATTAAATCGCAGGAAAAGTGACGGAAAACGGCGATGGGGAAATATTTCAAAGAGACAAGTGCCGACGCTGTACTGGGCTTTGGGCAGTGGTCTATCACGGATGGAAAGCCCAGTACAGGTGGTGGTAAAAGAAAGACGTGTCTAAGAAAGCTCTCTAAGCTATGTGGCAATTTGTAACTTCTTTTCTCATAAAAAATGTACCACACTCAAAAAAGGTTGAAAAACACTGCAGCTGCTCCAGGCCAGACCAGATCACACAAATGATCACTTCTCCACTCCTACTACAGGCAAGAAGCACGAGCAACATACAGCAGAATCGAGTGGTTCTCAGTGACCTGGACCCTTGGACCAAGTACTGCATCCAAGTCCAAATCAACACCAAGTTGAACCTCAATCCCAGCAAGCCCAACACAGCTGTTTGTGCGAGTACCACAACCGGTAAGTGTCCTTTACGGTGTAAATTTCTACAGTGAAGAAAAGATTACACCGTGAAATGTTGTCTGAAATTTCCTCTGCACCGCTTAACTTTCAATATGTGTGTTTGCTACAGAGTTAGTATGCTACAATAACTAAGGGAGATACATGTGTATTTGCATGATTCCTGCAATTTTAGAGTTATACCCACACGGTTGAATGCACTTATTGTCCCTTCGGACAAAAGCATCAGCCAAATAAAAGTTACATTGAGATCTTTGTATAAAACATTTGAATTTAATCGTGATGTTTCTATATGACCTTAATAATAAAGCGGGACCATCGAAGAGACGATTGTTGCTTGACATTGGTGCCATTGGGTCAGTTTCTGGTAAAATCAGATGAAAATCACAAGAAACTCCTTCAGCCTAGATGCCAGTAGTAGTCAACAGACAGCAGCCACAGACACCTGGGTGTTCGGCTCGGTCTTGCTATCTAGACCAGGGTAGAATATTTTTCCTGGCTGTTAATAGTATTGTTGACTTCTGACACCTAGGTGCTAGTAGCATATGCCTAAATAAAAACAAAAAACATAGCAGCTGCAATGAAGATATTGTGAGTGGAAGTGGACAAAACATTCAGCAGTTGGCACAATCAAAATGCTCCATGGAAAAACAAGTACATGGAAACACTAATTTCTTGGGCTACTCTTGCTTTGAATGTGCTGCTGAAGAAGAGGCTCCTTGGGTGGCAGCCATTGTGACGTTCGCCATCGTGGCAGTGACAGTGGCTCTGCTGGTGGTCGCAGTGGTGTATCGGAAACGCATTACCCATTTTTTCTGTCCAAAAGATTTACTGCCTGCGCACTTCAAAGAGGTGTGTATATATCGATCCTTCTGCATCGCATTGTGTGTGCAGAATTGTTGCTAATATAGTTGATAATTTTGCGTGTGATGTCCATAAAATTGCCATACTGATTCCCACTGCTAGTATTCATGCAGAATGTTTTTTCTTTTGTATTTTTCAGTACCTGCTGGCACCGCTCAACTCGGCCATGTACGTGGCTATGTGTAACTCTCGTCCACCTGACGAGATTTACAATCCGATCATCGTCACAGATGGCAGGACTGTAGAGGAAGGGCAGCCGCTGGAGGCAATAGGGAGAAGTTGCAGCAAACAGACTGACAGCACAGAGATAGAGGCATAGAGAAGCAGGGAAAGGATCCGTTCTTGCTTTACTTCAGAGATGTAATGCAACCAATTCTGTAGCAGGTCCATGTAGGTCCCAGAGCAGCAGTTAGACATTGACAAATTTGGTGCCACACCAAACAACGAGATGTCAACAAGCCAATTACATTCACGACTTTCAGTCAAGTCCTCCTCCCCTGAGGTCACAGACTTTTTACTCTTAGAGATCAATAAACTCTCTTGACCAGAAGAATAGCTCTTGTCTAAGTGCATAGGAGAAAAAAAAACTGCAAACAAATGCAAGTGTCCCACGGTGGCCAAATTCAGACATTTCAAAGCAAACCGCAGGTGCAACATTAGGAAAGAACACTGAAAGCCACACACTCCGGACCTACACTCGATTCCTAAGCCTGCATCTCTATCTCTCTCCTCTTCATGTTTATTCTATGATTGACTTGTATTTATGGAAATGCACATTGGTTTCGCCAGCAGCTAGGTTTTTTTGTCGACTGTGTATAATTGTTGGAATGCATTAAGCATTCCAAGTATTGTTCTTCTATTCTTTATACCGCCATCTTCTTCTATTTCTTCCGTTGCACCTTTCAACTCCTTCACACTTTCAGTTATTAAAACTTAAGCTTGAATTTATATAAATCAGTAATCATGAATATTTCTTCACATGGTTTTCCAATGGAGATCGTGTTCAAATCCTCTTAAACTTCTTCAACTTTCAAATGTTGACAAAAGTCTCACTTGTTGATATCTATTCTACTTTTTTCATAATCACTGATTCTGTTTCACTAGTTCTTCGCTCCGTTTCTGAGTTTTACATGAGTGTGTATTGCATTTCTTAGAGCAGTGGTTCTCAACTGGTCTGGCTCCGGGACCCACCATCACCCCTTAATGACAAGCCGCGACCCAAATCGAGGAACATTCTCAACTTCTCAAATGTATTTAATGAAAATATGGTGCAGTTTGAACCTGAGATAGTATGGAGACAGAATACATATGCCAACACAAAAACAAGTTTAATGAAAAAACAAAACAGCCAGCTGGTAGCGATGCTAGAGAGGGAACTATTCCCCTTTAGACTAAATTAGCTAAAAAAAACAAAGTGTATCTTAAGGACACAAGGTATTACAACATACATAACGATCTTCAGCCATTTCAAACAAACTCAACAGCTTTCATGCACAAACAAAAAAGTTGAAAAAAGACACAAATGACCTAACTTTAACAGATCTATGACAAACACTATATCTTGAGGAGCAGCTTTTGCACAAATTCAAAATAAATTTAAAAAAAAGTGCAATTCAAAAGGATTCGGATATACAAAATGAATGTTTCTTGTGATTACCTCATCAGGAGGTAAATCCTGAAAAACATTGTGCTTTACAAAAAATTAAGCAGCACTCACTTCAACCTGAGGTGAAAACTGGCAAACTTGAGTCTGGAGGAATTTCTAATGGGAGAACTGGGGATGTTTTTTTCTCTTGGCAAGAGTCTCAAAGTCTGGAGTTATAGTTGACAAGGCCAGTCTGAGGTCATGCTCAATGTCCAGTCTATTCCTGTGTTTAGTCTTCCGCTGAACCAGAGCTGAGAAGCCACACTCACAGAGATAGGTATTGCTGAAGGGTAGCAGGACTTTTACTGCTCGAGTGGCGAGGGAAGGATACTCGCTGATCACGCTGCTGCACCAGAACTGGGAGAGGCTTACCTCCGCGTACGGTCACATGACAGCTCCATCAGCTGACTCTCCGTTGCTTGGCAATGTGACACTTTCTATGTCGATTCCAAACGGGTCACGTATCCAGTCGTTATCCCTCTGTTTCTCGGGAAAGTATTCATTAAACCGCTCCAGAAGTTTATTCAGATGCGTCGTGATTGTTTTCTCCATTACATTCTTGTCTGCCGTGCCAGAATGGTTTGACCCAACCTGGCACGTGCTGCTGAAAACATGGACGTACGAGTCGGCAAAAAACGACACTCCGCTGCATTAAAAAAGTCCCTTCAAAATAAAATCCCAGGATGATTTTTTTTTTTTTTTTAATGATAATTTTTATTTTCCCAGGCAAAGGCCCGCGACCCATTAAACCAGTTGAGAATCACTGTCTTAGAATCTGGTTAAAAAAATATGGAACTTCTGTCCTCAGAGCCAAAGTATACACTTTTGATGCTTCATTTCTCTGGATTAATGATGGCATGGTTGTGCTGATTGGATTAATGTGTTCATGGAATCCCAGAGTTCTTTAGTTTTGGCTTAAGGAGTGTTAAAGTGACACAACCTCTGCCAAAAGACCCATAGGCTCCCAGTGTTAATTTCGTCGACGAAAATTATGACGAAGATTTTTCGTTAACGAACCTTTTTTCCAAGACTAAGACGAGACTAAGACGTGACGAAAACGATCTTAAAAAATAAAAACTATGACTAAATCTATTCTAACTTTCGTTAACGAGACGAGACGAACATGGTGGTTGACGAAGTCACAATATCTTTTCCCCCCTAAATTCGCACGCAGCTAACAGACAACAGACAGGCAAAGTACGGCGGTTATTAACGCGTCATGATGACGTCATCCACGAACCCAACACGCTCGGTCGCATCGGTGCAGCGGTGGTTCTTGTGCACCGACTACGCACCGCGACGACTATTTTTTCGCTTCGGCGAGTTTGAATGTGGCTTCCTTAGTTTAGCTCAGGTGTCTCGGTTTAGCAGCCTGTTAGCAGGCTGAAGCCGCGCTGCTTCACAGAAACATGAAGACCCGTTTAACAGACTGTCGGACCTTTCTGCTCTGTTCTCTGGCGACCGCAGGCAGCATTTCCTCGGCTGGATGAGACGCTCCGTTACAGGTTTCTCCAAACACGTCTAACGTAATAAACTCATTGCAGGTTCTGAAGCCAAGAAAATAATGTATTGCAGCAATTGTAGGACGTTAAGGTCTTTTTTGTTGGGACAGTGTAAACAATAAAGGACCGTGAATTTTCCGGTGACCACGTCAAAAGCATTGCAAGTAAACAGACAAAGACAACTAAGTGTTGCGTTTAGGTCCCTGGTCCTCATGAAGTTGTTAAACCTTTGCCAATTTGTTAAATTGCCTTGCAAATAAATGCTTTGCTATTTGTTAAAATCCAAATCCTTTCATGTAATGATTTTTCACATGTCATTTATATTAGCTCACACAAACACTTCAACCATTTGTTCTTGGCCCGGCTCCTCCGTCACATTTTACAACCCATTGTGGCCCGCGAGTCAAAACGTTTGCTGACCCCTGCTATAGACCTGTCCTATGAGGGACATCTAATGGACAACCAAGTACTGCAAGCTAGACTATTATGCAGTTGTAGACACAACACAGGGGGTCCCTGGGCCTGAGAAGGGAAGAAAATGAGTTTAATATGGCTATTAAATGTGACTAAAACTAGACTAAAACTGATTACATTTTAGTCTAGTTTTCGTCGACGAAAACTAGACTAAAACTAAGAAGGATTAAAATGACTAAATGTGACTAATATGCATTTTTCGTCTAGAGACTAAGACTAAAAATAGCTGCCAAAATTAACACTGTAGGCTCCAATACAAATCTGCCGACATAAAAATTTCGGCAGATTTCTCAAAAAATCCAGAAGGTACACGTTTTGTAAACTGCGACAGGAGCCGTATTTATTACCGGCCAGACATAAAAATCCCATCCATGCGTTCGGTAGAGTCTTGGGTCTCGCAGAAACGTCTTATTTTTTTAGATAGCTGTTATAGTTTTGCGCTAGAGGACACTTGTTTGAGGTGTGGATTCTGTGTAACTCGCTGTCATGTCTCTGCCCTTTTCAGCATTTCGATAATGAACCCAGGTGCGCCGTTGCCGTGGATACTCACACACACGCTGCAGTATCTCTGTCTGTGACTCACAGCTGCTCCTATTACCTGATTAGTGGAGTCACATGACGCTGCTATGCTTTCTGTCAACAGACCAACATGATGAAGACACTCGCCCTCCCCCCTCCACCCTGACCTCTTCTCACTGTTAATCACTCAGTCAGTCTGTCTGTCTTCTCCTCCCCTCTCCATCTCTTCCTCACCACCCCTCCCTTCCTCACCGCCTCACCCTCCCTCCCTCTATCTACACCCCCCCACCCCACCCAATCCAATAATTTAAAAATAAAAGCCCCATGGAGGGAATTTTTACTGTAATGTTTGTGATGAGGCCTATTAATTAAAAACTTCTTAGTTTGAATAACAAACATTCTATCTCCCAACCCCCCCTCACCCAATTCAATCATTTCAAAATAAAAGCCTCAATGATTATCTGTACCTTAACCATGAAGCTCAGAATGAAGCGGTTTTGTTGAAATACGTATTGCTCTTTCAAATACTACTACAACCACTACGAAATATTACTAGTACTTCTAGTACTACAACTGATACTTCTACCATACTACTAGTATTTCTACTGCTATTAATACTACAACTACTACTAATGTTATTACAAATACTACTATGACTAGTAGTATTAGTATTCCAGCTGTTTTTACTGCTATTGATACTAAACCGACTTCTACTGCTAGTACTACTAATACCACAATTACAACTATAACTAATACAGCTAGTAATATTACTACAAACAATTTAAAACCTCTTTTTATTCATCTCAGCTTTTGTTATTTCTGTATTTTTTTTAATTCATTTAAGCTCGAGCAACTGTATTTTTTTGAAATTGTATTGAAATTCAGCTTCCCCACTTCCTGTATTTTCAGCAGTTCTTTAAAATAATTTCAGCTTTTCTTATGGCTCTATAACAGGAATGTTTTAATATTCATTTCTGTATTTTTTTGCAATTTTTCAAATGTGTTTCAGCTGTTTTCAGCAATTATTCTAAAATTTCTATTGAAATTCCTTTCAGCTTCTCCCATTTCTGTATTTTCAGCAATTTCAAATTAATTTCAGCTGTTCTAATATCTGTAATTTAAGCAAATGTATTAAAATTCCCTTCAACTTACTGTATTTTCAGCAATTTTCTGAAGTTCATTTCAGCTTTTTGCATTCAAACGCATTTTCAGCAGGAAATGCATTTTCTAGTTGTTGTATCTTCTTTTGTTCACACCAGTGCTGTAGTGGTAAAATTAGAGGTGGGTAAACTCTGAATTTTGTGATCATACAGACCTCGACGCGATGCGAAGCAACGCAACACAAAGCGTCGCGACTCTGTAAGGCTGTCCTGGCTATATTGCATTATGTTATCAGTAAAAGTCATATAC